GCTTGAGATTATTTATTAGTTCAAATGTTTCGAGTACATCACGAATATTTACCTATTTGTCGTTGAATAAAAAATATACAGATATCACAATCTTATTTCATGTCATGGTAGAATAAGAAATATTAACGAACAAAAATCGTTCGTGAGATAGATGTAATTTTGAATATCTTTTAATAGGTATTGTAATCGCAATTTTGCATCTAAGGTTCAGACCTTCAGTCGTCCGACCGAGGTGTATCTGGAAATTAGTTTATCAGTTGCAGTTCACGATTGCTTTACTGACGAAATATTTCGATTAGTTAATTTACCGCTGCAACTTATTAGTCGTTCATAATTGATTTAATTGGACATTTTCATGGTTTACCTGGAATTAATTTTGCTTATACTTTACTTTCTTATGTCTCAATTTATAGGAGATAGCTAACATTTCCTGTGTCTTACCTGCAGAAACTATGCTTTCACAATATTCTTCAATAATACTCTTGGAGATCTGAGTGTCTAAAAATTCGCCTAAGCCTCGGGCTTAACAAGTATCTTTACTTTGTTGGTTTTCACGTTACCTTATAGCAGAGGAGAACTTCTTAAAGACGAATAAATCAGCCCTGCAGTGAACTGAGTTCAAGAAATTCGGGAACTCTGCAGTTGAAATTTTTTACCCGGTTTCAGCATTTCATTGAACCGTTTTCAATCAGTACGGAACTTCTCTCCATTTAAAATTGCTTCTTGATTCTTGTTGTGAATGCATAATTCTTCAACAATATTACAGCTTTCACTTTTAAATGACTTCTCACGCTTGTGCAGTCTAGACACAACAGTGTAGTGTGACGGTAGCCAAATAAATGTGAGTGTTGTGAGGTACCCTCACGTTCCTCACTCAGTGAGAGCTCTCAGTTCCTCTCTACCCTCTTATCCGAGGGGAGGTGCAAGGATACAATAACCAAACACTGCCGGGACGCCATGAAAATAATCAAAGCAATCAAGAAATTAAGCAAGCATCCTAAATCCTCATAAATGTTCGAGGATAATTCCGGCTCATGATGGGGAATTTGTTGATTATTAAAGGGAAGATATACGGTTCATATAATGCCGTAGTCTAATTCTTCTTGTTTTGAGGGGTAAAAACTAAATTTAAATTAATTATGTCTCGCAACATAATTCGTTATACTATGGATTGTTTCTTTCCTTTTTCGAGCGATGGAAAACATTTCAGACACGTTTAAAACCTACTAATGAAATTTATCATTTATTTTCATATGTTTCGTCTCAGAAGTTTAAGTTGTAAATAAGATGAACAGTTAATTGGTTAAGATGAGAAATAAAAATTCTGCTCCCCGAGAAAAACTGTAAAAAATGAGTTTAAATGAATTTTAGGTCAGATGAACACCCATTTTTGGAATAAAGTATCCCCGCGAAATATCAAAATCAATTAACTTGATCTGCAAAAATGTTTTTAATTTAAAGAATTAATTCGTTTCCCGTCATAATTTGCATCAGGTTTTCACAACATTTCCTTGAATTGCTTCAATTTCATGGACCAATTCTTGCTCAGAGATTGCATTGCCCGTTGCCGCAGATGCACTCAGAAACACGATTAAGTTTTGTCCAAATAACAATACACTGTGTGGGTGATCCTAACCCATTTTAGCCCGGCAGAAGGACTTAATGCTACGTATAAAAAGTTTGTCCCAATATGGACAGTGTGACCCATCAATTTATCTGAGAGCATCATGCACGCAACACGCTTCATGCGCTGCACGCATTGCGCGTAACTTGATGCCTGACAACAAGCGTCGCATTAAAGCTGCGTGCAGCTGCAGCTGCGCAAGTAGCAGCGATAAGAAACGTCAGCTTCACAGCTGCAATAACACAAAACCAAACAAAAAAACACCATTAGCAACTCTAAGCTTTGGCCGTAATCACGCCAACGGCAGCGTTGCTTCATGCTTACCCAGGATTGTCGGAGATTGCTGCTAGAAAACCATGCTGATGATTGTAGGAGTTGGTGTTAGTGATAAAATAGAATACCGATGATTGTAGGAGTTGGTGTTAGTGATAAAATAGAATACTGATGATTGTTGGAGTTGGTATTAGTGATAAAATAGAATACCGATGATTGTAGGGGTTGGTGTTAGTGATAAAATAGAATACCGATGATTGTAGGAGCTGGTGTTAGTGATAAAATAGAATACCGATGATTGTAGGAGTTGGTGTTAGTGATATAATAGAATACCGATGATTGTAGGAGTTGGTGTTAGTGATAAAATAGAATACCGATGATTGTAGGAGTTGGTGTTAGTGATAAAATAGAATACCGATGATTGTAGGAGTTGGTGTTTGTGATAAAATAGAATACTGATGATTGTAGGAGTTGGTGTTAGCGATAAAATAGAATACTGATGATTGTAGGAGTTGGTGTTGCGATAAAATAGAATACTGATGATTGTAGGAGTTGGTGTTGCGATAAAATAGAATACTGATGATTGTAAGAGTTCGTGCTGGTGGAAACAAAGAAAAACGATGACTGTAGGAGTTGGTAATCAGTAAAAAAATATAATATCGATGATTGGCGGAGTGGTTGATTAATCTAAAAAAGATAACCAATAACTGCAAGAGTTGGAGATTAGTTATGAGAATGGCATAGCAATAATTATGATAATTTGTGGTTCGCTTGTAAGTGAAAAATTTTTAATATTCTTTTCTGGTTAGTTTCAGAGCAGAAATTGTCAGCAATGGGAATTATTATAAGAAGAAATTTCTTTGAGAATTGAAGAGAAGGATTAATAATAGATAACAATAATTGTACGAGTTAGAGTTAAGAATTTAAATACAATGTAGATGGTTCTGACAGATGAAGATTAGTTTCCAAAGAATACTGTGAACTGTCAAGGCTATCAGTCAGTCGATTGTGAAGTGTCAAGGCTATCAGTCAGTCAACTGTGGACTTTCAAGGCGATCGGTCAGTCAAGTGTAAACTGATAAGGCAATCAGTCAAGTAACTGTGCAGTGTCAAGGCATTCAGTCAGCCAACTGTGGAGTATTAGCGAGTCTGGGGTTGAAACCAAGTCTCATATGATGGAGTAAATCCTGTTAATTAGGATGTACACGTGAATAACAATGTTTTAGTTCGATTTGATTGAATTGTCAAACATGATTTGCACCATTAACATTATATTTTCAGCCATAAAATCTGGTCCAGAAGTTATAAAATGATAGTGCTCAGAGAAAGCTTGTTTGTCGGACAACTCTGGTCGATGCATTATTTCATGCCACTCCAGACACTTCCTTAAACAAAGCGTCGAAAACTGGAATGTAATTGCAAAATTTATTTGTTTGCAGTTGTAATGCTTGAGCCAGGGAGACCCTCTTTTTGGCATTTAAGCGTCATAATGTTCTTGAAAACGATGTCATCTAAAATTTGAAATGGAATATTTATAAAAACTTTTCATATATGTAATAAAATAAAATAATAAGCTTCTTCGAAGAGAAAATTTAACGCGTTGTCAGGCCATAAAGAAACTGATTGAATTTCTGTTTGAAAATATCTATAACTTCGATACAATAAAGAATTTGAAAAAGAATCGTTATCATTAATTGCATTGTAGCGATAACAGTTTTATAAGCGTGCATTGTGCGTGATAAGTTAACGAAAGTCTCGCGTCTTTGTTGTGCTTGAGGCAAGTGGATAAGGCAAAGAGGTGAACATGAATTATTGATCATGAGGTACGTAAGGGTAGGTATTGTGAGTGAAGTGAGTAATAGCAGCTGAGCGTGTTTACTCAAGTCTTAGTGTGGGAACATCGCTGGTGATGGCATCTTGCCAACATTCGAGGGAATCCCTCCAACCGATGGCTGTAAATTCTTGCAGAAGTAAAGGTTTGGACCTTTTTTCTGCACCTTCATCGTTACAAGTCATCGCGATTTTGATCATTTTCTAGATTCGTTTCAAAGCGAGTTTTTCCTTTTCTGACACTTCCCAATCGCCATTGGAGAAACGTGTTACTTTCTTACAGTCCAATTGCTTTAATTATATTTTCATGCGAATTACATTCGTATGAGTATATTAGGCAAATATTTTAATGCTCTGTTCAGAAACAGAATATTTTTTTATGTCTGTCACAATCAGAGCATATTCGTACATTGCTTTTCTGGTAAAGACTTCGTAGTCACTATTGGTTCGAGTATCTCTTCAGGTGGTTCGACTACTTAGCAAATTACTATTTTAAACGGTTGAATGGTTCGATCTCGATTGATGCTCCTCTGCTATGCTACCCTTGCATTATAGGTTAATTTGACACTAAAGCTACATCGTTACTTGAGATTGAAACGTCGTTAATGCATCTATACGCTGCTGATTATACGTACTATATACTGGATGCCATCTCGTCATGCCTCAAGAGTCTGCACTGACGGTTTATTCTACTTTTTAGAAATAGTCATTTATTATATATATGGCATATTTACGAAGTTTTGACTCGGCGACGGTGATTTGTTTGGTTTTAACCTAAAAATATTATTCGTTTTTGAGGCAAAGCCATTCGTTTGCCATACCATAACGAAGCATCAAACTCGGAATCAATTACAATTCAAAACTTTAATTTGATTTCAAGCGCTCGGAATGGACAGTGAATTAACTTAATTTTCTCATAGTTCACTCATAAAAAATATTAATTTTATATCTTAAATTAAGGCATTCATTAGGTATCGTAGATTTGTGCCGTCAAACAAACTTCAACAGCATTCATTGGAAAACAACCATATCGCCTGTAAACCATCACGTTCATTTGGTGATTGCAAGTAAGTCTGCAGTGCAACCAAGCTTTCGTTACAGATGGATCTCCAAATTTGAATACTGACATTAATTCTTATTGCCAAGCCTTCATATTGATTGAGAAAAGTTAAAGATTGAGAAACTGATCTGTCCGTAGACCTGTGGTTTACGAACTTGCAATAAATTAACTGTAGTAGGTCATTTAAAACCTTAACCAGGTGTAAAACAAGGCTTGCAGGTGTGTTTTAATTTATTAATCAAGCAATAGGTATCAATACTCAGAAGAAAACATTCTTATTGGTGCATGATAAATTGTGAAACTCGGATAAAGAGTTACTAAAACGCGTAGAAGTAGAAGAAAAAATTTTGAGTAGTATGAATTCTTCTACTTATTAAGTTGAAGAAGGAATTTTGCACGACCCCTCACAGCCATCGAGGGAAGCTGAGGAGTTCAATGTTGTTGGTGCAGAGCTGCACGATGCGGCCAAATGCTCTCTTCACCGTAGTCGGGCAGAGCGGCGACACTCCCAGCCAGTGGCATGGGCAGATTTGCTGTCAACGCAAGTTAATGGTTATGAAGAAAATAAAAAATACGATATTGTTTCGTTAACAACATGGTAGAGGAATTTGGTGATTTTGCAAAAATAACTAATGGTATTTTTATGACAGGAAAAGGATATAGAGAAGCAACACAAGTAACATACCGAGTACCACAAGTAACGTACCAATTAACACAAGTAACATACCGAATAACACAAGTAACCTACCAACTAACACAAGTAACATACCGAGTAACACAAGTAACGTACCAACTAACACAAGGTAACTACCAATTTTAAAACAGATAAATAATTTGCTTTGCCACGTACATTGTACCATGCATGAGGTCCTTCAATCAAGCCGAACACTCGGCTGATAAATGCTGCTATTAGTAATTGTGAGAAACAAATACAAATAAATTTAGAGATCCAGTATATATAAGTCAAATTAAACACGTAGAATGGCTGTTAGGGATCTTGTTAGGGAGCTATTTTCTAAGTTATAAAGTGGAATAATGAGTGACCTCCTGAGCCGCCCGCTTGAGATCCTCGTACGGGAGGGCGAAGATGTCGCCGGTGAGGTCTCGGCTGCGCAGCCACGCAGGGAACTCCCCTCTGTACGCTACAGCCTGAGAGGGCAATAGGATAGACGAGGTTAAAGTTTTGGAATATGTTCTTAATGTTTGACGATTTTAATTTCTGGATGAAACAGTCATAACTAGACTAGGTTAAGCTAAAAGGATGGAATATATATTATGGCAATGCATGTAAAACGAAAATATTCTTGGCTGCTTTGAATGAACAGTGCATGACTATACTAGGATTTTGTTGGAGTTAAATATGTTGTTTATGTTCGGTGATTATCATTTCTCAATGCCACAGGCATAACTGAATTATTTTTAGCTGAGAGGATGGAATGGGTTGCGTGTGCACAGTAATGTTCTTGACTGAATGGGACAGATAAAATAATCAGGCACGGCTTGACAATTCCAGGATTAAAAGGTGGAAAATGTTTTTCGTTGACAATGTTCGTAATTTGTACAACAGCCACCTATAGAAAAAGTCATTCTCTTTCTGATATTTGATTGCCTGAAGCCATGTTAAATTTCCTTTATGAATTTAATTTGATAAAAATATCATCTTACTACCAATTGTCGATAGTGAATTTATAACAATGTATGAGTTTGCACAATGCACAATACATTTATGTAGTGTTCTAAAATAGTCTAAAATAAGATTATAATAAGTTTCTAATAATAATTCATAGCATATATGTAGATTAGACACTCACGACTTCGCACGGAGGTACTGAGTAAGGCAGAGTTACAAGGCTGCACTTGCTCCCGACGTCCGTGACGTCATCAATGCGGTTGTCCACGCCATCGACCATCGCGGTCCTGTTCCACCAACACAGCACCACCAGCGGCACCATCAACCAGCGCATTGTTGTGCTGCTCGTGCTTATTGCTAACGAATACTGCCCGCTCGTAGTGGGTGATTTCAATTCTGCAAGAGTACCTGATAAGACGAGCAGAAATGATTTTAAGTCTGAAAAAATGACGTAAAATAGAAGACGTCTCATTGCAATTCGGCAAGAAAACGACGTAAAAAGAGCTGAGGCGATTTCAATTCCTCAAGAACATGACGTGAAAGAGCGAGGTGAGTTCAATTCTGCAAGTACACGATATAAAAACAGCAGAAGAGATTTCAAGTCCTCAAGAACACGACGTGAAAAAGAAGAGGTGATTTAATAAGGGCAAATAAAAAGGGCAAAGATGATTTAAATTCCGCGAAAACACTGAATAAACAGAGCAGATTTATGTAAAATAATATTTGTATGAGCAGTAATATTGTGTGAATAATATCTGTTCGAACATAAGCGATGACAGAATCATAAGTGAGACTTAAATCAACTTATGCAATTTAAGTAGAAAATTTTTTTCATGGAAGGGGGTAGGGTAAAAGATGAATGCCTTGCATTTGGGTAGGTAAAAGATGAATGCCATCAAGAAATTTTGTTCTTATTTGGCTTCTATCATTATGGTGATATTTGCCATTCCCATTATATGATTGACTACTTTAATTGGTTGACTACTTTAAAATCTTATTGCTGTGCAACTATCATGACGCACGAGATAAAAGATTAATTATCTCCCCTCAAAACCGTTTCTCTGTTAAATCTCATGTTACTTAAAGGCACGATAATAAACAGAAACCGGGGCACCCATATAATTTCCTGCGCTTAGATTAGATATGAAATGTTTATTTTCTGGTACGCACCATTGAATTTAAGTTTAAATATTTCCAAAGTCGATGAGTATTGCATTTAATAGTTTATCAGCTAACAGTATGACAGCGTACACACAAAATTAATCCAAAATGCGCATTCAAGCTACACGCTCTACATCATCCATTTAGTTTCTTTTAATCATCTAGGAATAATGATCAGCTTACTATTCTGTGTCATCTATTTATCTTCTTTTGATCATTTATCTATGATGATCAGCTATCAATTTGATATCATCGATTTTATTTATTAAATTATCTAACTATTATTATCATTGGTTTCATCTGTCATTTGGCCTCTTATTTTTCAACCATGTTTCTGAATACCAGTTTAATTTATCTGAGTTACCGCAGTCGTTCATAATCCTCTTGTATACAAGATCGCTGTTTGATCTCGTAAAGGCTCGAGTCGTGACAGCGTATTTATGATTTCAGCTTGTCATTTCGGCGCTGAAACTCTCCCCTGCCTTTATGGGCATAAATGTTTGCCGCTGCTCTTGTTCATCACGCGCAGGGTGACTACGAAAAAAATATGAGTGGTACGATAAATCAGATAACCGTGATTCATCACGTATAGGTGAGTACGATATAAAATGGTGAGTGATACGACAAATAAGATGACCGTGATTCATCATGTATAGGTGAGTAAGATAAAAAATGGTGAGTGATACGATAAGTAAGAAAACCGCGATTCATCGCGTACAGGTGAGTACGATGTAAAATGGTGAGAGATACGATAAATAAGATAAGCGTAGTTCATCACGTATAGGGCAACCACTATCAAAAATTTTGAGATAGACGTGATATAAGATAATCGCGGTTCATAACGATATGGGCTGATCGCGGCAAAAATTGGCGAGATAAGATAAATAAGATAAACGTGCTGCGTCACGTATATATAGAGTGATTACGATAAAAAATGTTGAGAGATACGATAAGCGTAGTTCATCACCTATAGGTTAGCCACGATAAAAAATTGAGAGATAGATGTTAAATAAGATAATCGTGATTCATCCGTGGGAGATTTGATTATACAACAATTAACCAACTGGTGTACTTCCACTTTGTAATCACGTTCAAGTTTATTATGCAATTAAAAACAATCTTTTCAGTTTGATCAATAGCAACGAACAGACTTAACGTTGTCCTAATATGACATTGAGTGTAGGGGGAACGCTACCTCTGCGCATTAGACTGCCTTTATTCAGACATGTTTCAAACAAGTCTGTTTAGATTCGCAAGAGATGCTCACGCGTGCGTTGGGTGAGGCGTCGCGTCTATTTTTAGTATTTTTCTTCTGCCTTTGTTGGCTTTTGCGTAATTTGTCATCGTGAAGTAATGAGGCAACTCGTGGTGCAATTATCCGCAATAACGAGTGATGTACTGCCCTTCGTTTTAGTGTTAAATGCGTGAACTTTTTATCAGAGTTAATTCACGTTTAAAATACTGTTCTACATTTATGTATAATAACATAAATAAATATGTAGTATTCATTAAGTTGATATGTATATTCATTTTGAAAGCAAAAAATTTCCTTTGATGCGCTATTTTGCCGAAATTATTTTAAAAAACGATATGATTGGGCAAATTCAAAACACTCGCGTGCCACAAACCAACTTATGCAATCACGTCTCAGACGCAAGCAAGATACGTGGATAAGTTAGTCGCCACTGTTCTTTCCCCACTACCCACTATCCAAACCAAAACGATGTTACTCAGATCAGAAAAATATCAAATTATCATTAAATAGTACAAAAGAAATTAACGCCGTTCAATGAGTACTGGAAAATTTTTACTATAACACGATCGTTTGCATCATAGTGTGGCGACTTGAGTATGTTGGCGACTATGGTGTGATATAGACGGTGCATGGTGTCTTACCTGGCGACGTGTAAGCGCAGATGTGCTTGACACACGACTGTGAGGCTCACATACAGCTTGATATTGTGCTTTCTCAAGCACCAACAAGTCTGTGGTGAAATGTCAACATGTCGTGGAACAACGCTGGTGCAATTCTTGTCATCATAACAGCAGCTTTTTATGCAAAACATCCTATTTATCGGCTGCTCTATATATCGGCTCTATATACTGTGTAATCCTCTGTATATATGTTTCTAAACATCCTCTATATATCTGCTGCAAAATATCCTTCATATTTCTGCTACTAAACATCCTTCATATATCTGTTGCTAAACATCTGCTCTATATTTACTGCTCAGCACTCTCAATATATCTGCGAATAAACATAGTTTGCCATCGTCTGCATCACAGCTGCTGCTTGCGTTTTCCCATCGTGTATGCATGGAGAAGTGTAGCCGCCTTCTCCGAAACATTCATTGTTGTCAGAACGACCAACGTAAATTATATTTTTTTTTGCGTAGAAAATATTAAACCCTGTCTGTTAACCGGAAAGGATTTGAACATTTAAATGATAAAAAGTTATAGGAATACTCCGGCTTAGCTGGGCATATTTATTTCTTTCAAATAAAGTAGATTTCTTTAAAGTGCAAAAATACGGTTTCTTCACGTCGGTGGCCAGTGGAGCTCAGATCAACGACTGAGTATTCTTCGTTGATCTAAATCGATGATAAATAAGAATACTGACAATTGGCAGTTAATTTATTTGATTTACGAATTTTGTTACAAAACTTACTGAAGCACTTGATATATATTCCACTTAAAGTTATATCCGGAAACCTCAATATTAAAAAATAATAACTGCAGGTAAAAGCAAATACCTAGTATGGGTAAAAAGACGTGAGAAAATTAATTTTTTTATATCGGTGCTATTATTCGGACGTCATCTGTATTGCAGTGCTAATGATCGTACGTATCGTGACGATTAACCTATAAAACCTTTGCAACCAATTAATCGTTATACTTGTATTCATTATAAAGTATTGTATTATAATTACAAGGAACTCAATAGCAAGAGTTTATGGAGCGGACCGACAATTGAAATGATTTTTCTTACTTCTTGCTTCGTACAGATGTGGTAAAGAACCTTACTTTAATTCTTGAAGAGATGAAAAGTGTCAAATATTTGAATCAAACGTTGATTTTGTGGGTGGTGTGAAGAAGGCAGAAAGTTTGGAGGTCAAAAAGTTGTTCAAGCCGCTACACACAATGATCGAGTACTGCCTTACTAATAGAATATTGTCATCTTAGTCTACGAATCGCAATGCTAACATGCAACCTTAGCAACCAAACAAGAAATTTATTTAAGTTGACTATGCCAAATATAGTAGTAAACATAAAGCAAGAATTGCTCATATCTTGAGCATGTTAATTTTAACAGAAAAGCTTGTGACCTATACCAATTATTTTTTAATGACGGCAATATATGTCAAATATTACTTCTTTTGACAGCGTCTGCCACTGCAAGCAAGGTTTAGAGAGTAGGCCTAACATGTCAGTCTACAATAGCATTGTGAACATGAGTCCACGCATACCAACTCTTGTAAATAATAATACACTCGTTGAATTATGTGAAATTTTGTTCAAATAGCGAAGCAATTTTCTGTGTCGTCTTGACCCGCTTTGGCCGTATATTTGTGCTTATCGGTGCTACATGCAGAAAACAGAAAATATGTCATGATTTGGACAATAAAAATTTTACTGGAATTTTGAAAATTTTACCCCTGATTTTGACAATTAAACCCATGATTTTGGACAATTTGACCCGTTAATTTCTTATTGTGTTTCAAGCTTCAGGGCAGGCGGCTGTGATGATGGCGGCAGCCTGATGGAGGTCCGGGGGGCAGGTTGAGCTCAGGTCAGGTCTCCTGCATCCACACACCTGCTGCTCGATCACGATAATGATATGTATTAATGACTGGTAGAATTATGTTCTAATTTCGTTCTGTTTAGAAATAATATACAAGAAAACCTGTTATTAATCATTTGGTTTTCATTGTGAAAATAGAAATAAGTATGAAATATTGTACCAGAAATACCTGTTATTGATCATTTGGTTTTCATTGGGAAAATAGAAATAAGTAATCCAGGTACGGACCCCTGGCACAGCTCGGGGCAGACAATTTCTGGGACTTGGCAATGTCGGATTTCCTGAATCCCGTTCATAATATTCAAACTAAAGTAATATTATTGAATAAATGTTCATCGAAATACAATTTTTAACCAGAAGTACAACTTGATTCTCGTTATCGTATTGGGAGCTAGTCTCAATCGTAAGTTTTTAATAAAATTAATATTACAAAATTATAATGCATTGCAATTTTTTATACACCCGACATATATAACTTATTTTCCAGGGCTGATACTCCTACTAAAATATAATTTCATGTCCCGGAGCATATTCACAGGACTGGTATCACGCCCGTTCAGTCCCTTACATAAATAAAATAATGATAAAAAAACTCAGAGAAGCGAGTGGGTTATTGTCTTAGTAGCGATGCGCTTGTGACCCTTTAGTGTGTCATCCTGACCCAGTTTGGCTTGGTAAAAAGGCGTTTCAGTGCTTCGCTCGATCATTGCTCGTGCAGTGGGCATGAAAGTGTCACTATTTAGACAATATGACCCACTCACTTCTTGAGTGTATATAAATAAGCTCACTTCGGAGCCGAACTGTGAGAGGAGGGTCGTTGAAATGGCGCTGAGGCTGTCAGGCAAATGTTCCTTCAAGAACCAGGCTGGGGGAGACCCGCGATACTCCAACGCCTAATGGTATGAAGACTGATATCATTATGGAGTGGATAGCATCCGATGATAGATGATATCAGAATATTAGTGCGGTAAGCGAGCATTGAGTGTATTTGTGGTAATGAGCGATACTATCCTATACTGAACGATGCCGATCAGAGGCAACAGCACTTTTAATTGAGGTTAAGATGAAAATTATACAGTTTCAAGTCTTGGATGCATGAATAATTTCATTATGAATTGCGTCCTTATTTTTATCCCAACTACGGTCACTGCGCAACATGATTCAGTCAAGATTTATGATATGAACATCTCAAATTATAATAAATATAGCAGCGTAATATTACATTGCCACACGGTTGAGCAAAAACGTCCACAAAACGGTTGCGTGCCGTTATTTTGTATTGAAAAACACGTTTACGCACCAGAGCACAGGGCACAGTTTTGCTTGAGAAATACGAGACGGTGCAGCCGATGGGGGCGGGATGTTGCAGGTCCGTGAAATGGTCTTTGGTGCTGCTGTTGCCCGATGCTGGTGTGTTGGTGTCGTTCAAGAATTGTTGTTGTGTGTTGGTGTCGTTCAAGAAGTGTTGTTGTGTGTTGGTGTCGTTCACCAGCACAGTGGCGTTGCCTTCAAGGGAGGTGCCGGTAAAAGAATCATGCACTGCACTTGGATCAGGAGACGCCGAGTGGTTTGTAAAATCAGATTTCTCATCACGTAAAGCTTCGCACGTCGCTTGAGTGGTTACGAAATAAAATGCCAGACAAACGTGGAACCAAAAGTGGAACGCTGATAATGTACGAAGACACTCCATTTTCCTCATATGATGGATAAACCGTATTTTCTATGAAATTTAAATTTTCTAGGCACTTTTACACAGTTTGGTAATGGCAGTTAACTGCGTTTAAAAATGTTTGTTTAGTCTGACAAGCGTGTGAACAAAGTTCAAAAAGTTTAGTTATGTTCCGTAAAGTTTGTTGCCTTATTCACAATTCTTTCACTATCGCGAGCACTTAATAGTTTCTCAATAATGTAAGAGATTACGATTGCGTAACGCAATATTGATCGCAAATTATGATTCCTTAGAATATTATATTATGTTATTTAAAAATAATATAATATGGGTGATTTTAGAAGCAGCTGATGAGCAACACATGCTTCTGATGTGAAGTCTACGAGCTTTAAAAGTTTCCTTCGTGAGTTCGTCGTCCTGCAGCGACCACGGCGCTACGAGGGCTTTGTTATACTAAATATTGACGCTCTAGTGCAGGCTGCAGTCCAGGAATTGTTGTGGAGAACCATTATTGTGTTTCTACACAGTTATCGTTGGTTGTGGTTTACATTTACAATGCCGCAAACTGTGTGCAATTGTATTTTTCACTCAATAACATCTACATAGTTACGTACATAAAATTAAATTAATCGTTTATTACCGTCATCAAACATAAGTTCGTGTTGGACGTTCACAGCGACGAATTCAAAAACGAAAGAGGTGTTTTTTGCCTCAAAATACATGAAATTGCTTCACGTTACATTCTGTGAACTAGTTAACTAGCTGTAGAGGAAATTGATCAAGCACGGTAACAGCGACAATCTTGCTTAGTCCGCCGCACCACGTCAGCAGTTATTTATCCATTATCCGCCGCACCACGTCAGCAGGCTCATTTATCCATTATCTCCTTGAAACTCGTGGTCACATCCAATACTTCTCTTCACTACCTGGTAAGCCATATAGTTACTCTTAGTTCTAACTTCAATCCTCAATCTAAATTCACTTAGGCTAGTTAGCGCTGATTGTAGAATTCTTGACCAATCAACAAGGTTCTCTTGTCTGTTCCAAATTTGTTAGCTTTGGCTCTTCACTACATGCTTGCCATTCAAATACGAATAATTATAGAACGGTTATTGTTAACCCCTAAGCTTCTCGCTGCTGATAGACCTCCTGACTCGCCACCAAGGTGCTACTCAACCACGAGTAACTCGTACTGGCTCTTCATCCTCCTACCCTGGCGACATAAGCTCTCAACTCAGTTGCAGTCTCTCATCCCGGTGGAGCCTCGCATCCCGGTGCAACCTAGCACCCCGGTGTAACCTTGCAACTCGATGGAACCTTGCACCCCGGCGACCTCACTACTCCCTGTGCCCTCGCTGTTCCAGGGCACTTGTGACCCGACTTCCTTCTACTTTTCCTTCCTCTATTTTTATTGTTAATTGAAGGCTCAGTAATTTACGCGTGTTTCAATTTGCATCCCGTTACGAGGCCCGGTTGCGTTAGTGCATCCACGGTAGATTCTATAGCTAGGCTAACTCTGGACGGTAATTGAAAATTTCCAGCTTCTCTGGACTACGGTTGAAGCAGTAGTTCTGAATACCTTTACACTAGCATAAAGGTATCTCTAATTTTTTTATCACTACCACTCTCTATCACTATCTCTAATATCTTTAAACTATCTCTAATTTTCCATGCTTTTGAAAATCTTGTATGCCATTCCCGACAGCCAAAACAATCGGCAATAATTTGCACCGCAACAAACAACTCCGGAAATATCGTTTATGGCTTTTCCTTGCTGAATTTGCAAGTAATTGGCTTATTTCGCAATTATTTATGCAACAGTCGCCTATACGACGCTGCTCAATAATAATTATTGTGACCCTAATAATCATCATGGTTTGAACTTGCCGAAAAGAATAACATTTATTTTGTTTGTGACGTCGAATCCTATATATGGTAAAATCTTTTTTCTTGTACATTGTTTGACCTTACCTTAAATTTTTGATTGCAAAATTAAGACGAGAGCACAAGTCGTCGATCTTTCTCTCGATTATTCTGTACAAAATAAAGCATCTCGGTCTCTCGTATTCCCAGATCGCATACAAACAACCAAAATAAAATATTATGCAGTCCGAACATTAGAAATTGTGTTTAAAAAGTTCAAATATTAAATATTTTGTTTATAAACATCAAACTTTAAAAATTATTTTTATAAAGTCAAAACGTTTCAGATGAAGAACCTGAATTCGATTTACAATGAACCCATGATCATGGTAATATTTACTGACCAAATCAAAAATCTTTGAGTGGTAATATAAACGTCTATGTAATTATAATCTTTTAACCGAGTCTAAAATATGAATTATCGGCCACTACATTTCCAATTACTTACCCTGAAGTAATTTGATGGAGAAGAATATTTTTCACATGCGTATAATGAAGAATACGCTAACCCAAAGTAAGTGATACATGATTAGTGCGTAATTGAGACAAGTTTATTCCTGCAGCTTCTTCTGTAGACGAGATACTTTCGTCGAGGTGTTAATTTAATATCCCAGCTAATAAGACAATTAACTCTACGGAGCTTGTTAGTCTATTTTCATTAAATAAGATATTCTATCAATATTTATATTGCATTTTGGGGAAGAATAAGTTTATTGAATAAAGCAGGACATATTTTTATTCAAATAATTTTAAAGAGTGATGATATTCTCTGATAAAAATCACAATTAAAACGACACAGTCTAGAAATCAAATTGGCAGATAGTCAGAACGACAGACAAGAACTCAAAATATGATTGGTCACAACGATAGACCAAATTTTGACAGATAGTGATTTTATTTGTTAGTAGCAATGCTAGACCAGAATTTCCTAACCGTTTTCTCTTAAACATTACAGTTCTGTCGAAGCTTGGCTGATAATCCCAGGTAACTGCACCATCACTCGTCTGCCGATTGTTGGAATAGCATTCACTGTCTGTGAGTACAGGCATTCATCTGAACATTTATACCTAGGAGAAGTAATATATATGTTGTACTTATGAATATTTGGAATATGTTGTACTTATGATAGTAATAACCATTAAAAGGAGGTTCTGTACCACAGTGCTGGCATTAAGGTGCATTGTGTGCCACAGTGCTGGCATTAAGGTGCGTTGTGTGCCACAGTGCTGGCATTAAGGTGCGTTGTGTGCCACAGTGCTGGCATTAAGGTGCGTTGTGTCCCACAGTGCTGGCATTAAGGTGCGTTGTGTGCCACAGTGCTGGCATTAAGGTGCGTTGTACGTCACAGTGCTGGCATTAAGGTGCGTTGTACGCCACAGTGCTGGCAACCAGCGGGCAAGCTGACAGGAGTCGACTGACAGCGTCGCTCAGGCTGACGGGACAGCTTTTGCTGACAGCTGGAGGCTGGCAACGGCACACTTGCTGGCAGTTGCAAAAAGAGAGGGAATTGTTTTGTAGCTTTTGTTGCTGTCAAAGCACAATTAATTTTAGAAAAACTGTTAGAAACATTCTGCTGTTACTTCTTTTATGGCATTTCACTTTAACCGTTGTATAAATCCTACAGTTAACCACCTTGGTTGCGAAGTCCCCTAGCAAGCGCCCCTTGATTGCGAAGTCCCCTAGCAAGCCCACCTTGGTTGCGAAGTCCCTTAGCAAGCCCACCTTGGTTGCGAAGTCCCCCAACAAGCCCACCTTGGTTGCGAAGTCCACCAGCAAGCCCACTTTGGTTGCGAAGTCCCTTAGCAAGCCCACCTTGGTTGCGAAGTCCACCAGCAAGCCCACCTTGGTTGCAAAGTCCACCAGCAAGCCCACCTTGGTTACGAAGTCCACCAGCAAGCCCACCTTGGTCGCAAAGTCCACCAGCAAGCCCACCTAGGTTACGAAGTCCACCAGCAAGCCCACCTTGGTTGCAAAGTCCCCTAGCAAGCCCACCTTGGTTGCAAAGTCCACCAACAAGGTGTAGTTGACGTTAAGAATCTCAGTCGCCACGTCCTCGCGCGGCAGCCATGACGGCATGTCGCCTTGTAGCTCCAGCGACTGTTGCGGTTGTGTTTAATATAAAGTTTATTAAGTTTAGTTACTGTATAAATCAAATTATTTATGCCTAAAAAAGATTTGATGATATTACGTTTAAATAAAGAGCTTTTATTAATTGCATTGATAAAAGCGAATATAATGCAAATAATTAATTAATTAATGCATTTTAAATTAATTATTAATGCAAATAAAAATACATTAATAAAAGCAAATATTTAATGCAATAAAAATTGCATTAAATTACTTGCATTTACATTGCGCTTATTAAACATTAAATTATTTTAAACGGCTGCACTCACCATGACACAGTCGTCCGTGATGTAGGCTGCACTCACCATAACACAGTCGTCGGTGATGTAGGCTGCACTCACCATAACACCTGTCTCTTATACACATCTAGATGTGTATAAGAGACAGGTGCCACAGTGCTGGCATTAAGGTGCGTTGTACGCCACAGTGCTGGCATTTAGGTGCGTTGTGTGCCACAGTGCTGGCATTAAGGTGCGTTGTACGTCACAGTGCTGGCATTAAGGTGCGTTGTACGCCACAGTGCTGGCAACCAGCGGGCAAGCTGACAGGAGTCGACTGACAGCGTCGCTCAGGCTGACGGGACAGCTTTTGCTGACAGCTGGAGGCTGGCAACGGCACACTTGCTGGCAGTTGCAAAAAGAGAGGGAATTGTTTTGTAGCTTTTGTTGCTGTCAAAGCACAATTAATTTTAGAAAAACTGTTAGAAACATTCTGCTGTTACTTCTTTTATGGCATTTCACTTTAACCGTTGTATAAATCCTACAGTTAACCACCTTGGTTGCGAAGTCCCCTAGCAAGCGCCCCTTGATTGCGAAGTCCCCTAGCAAGCCCACCTTGGTTGCGAAGTCCCTTAGCAAGCCCACCTTGGTTGCGAAGTCCTGTGATGTAGGCTGCACTCACCATGACACAGTCGTCTGTGATGTATGTGATGTAGACAAGTTTGCAGCCTGGATTGATGTAGGCGATGCAGGAGCCCAGCATGACGGCAGTGATAAGGGCCGTCGCCGACGTCAGCATGATGAAGGTCTCTAGTTTACTTCATCTGCACAGCCTACGCAATAATTTTTTGTTGAATGTAGAATGACGGAAAATGAATTAGAATTTGTAGCTCAAAAGGCAATGAATCATGAAACGGCAGTTCAATTTTACTTATTCCAAACCTCGCGTATGGATTAGCTGAAAAAAAGATTAAAGATTAAAAAGCACAATAATTATCGTCGGTCAACAAGGAATTTGCCAAGTATGGAAATATCGTGGCAGGCTTTTAGCTCTGATTGAAAAAATTTGCTTCTGCTCTTAACTAATTCATGTTGATACTTGAGATATGCGAACCTCGCAATTGGTCACCGGGCGAACTTTCAGCGTGAATTCTTACATGATATTTTATCTGTTATTTATATATTAGCTCACATAGTAGCATTACACTTACTGTGTCATCATCAAAAGTTTTGATATTATGCGATAAAATATGTTTTGTTGCAAAGTAAAATTCTGTATAAATTTTTGTTCCTTTGTGTTTGATCGTCAAGTATATTCTGATTAATTTTGATTACACATTAAATGATTTCAAGTGGAAAAGTTAGCGCTAAAGAAATGTTTGTACCAGTGTTGTGTTATCTGTGAGGTACAAATAATTCTATTCTTTTATCGATGAGCTTTCGACTTCTACTATGGTCGTAATGTATAATATTGTCTATTACGAAATAAATGCAATTAAATATTCGACTTTATTTCTCCGTCTGTCAGAGCATACACTTTTATACAAAAGTGGTGTAATCGCAATTTCACGTGTACGCGTTGCGTGGTCCTTCAGTTCAGACCTTCAGTCGTCGGTAAGTTGACTTAGCGCTGAGACTTAGTATTCGTTCATAATTAATTGACGTGAAATTTTCATGGTTTGCTTAAAAATTAATTTTGAATATTTTTTGTTTTTCATGTGCCTCAATATATAGTAGATAGCTAACATTTCCCGTGTCATACCTGCAGAAACTATGGTTTCTCAAGACGCTTCCATTAAACTCTTGGAGATCTGAGTGTCGAAAAATTAGCATAAGCCTACGGCTTAGCAAGTGGTATGATATCATACTAATGGTCGCAAACATACATATCGTCAAAAACATGTAATGGATGTTGAATGAAACTTACATGACTTGCATCTCCTGTTTTATTTTTAATTATAATTTCAGAGACACTAATTCCAGTACAAACGCATGACATGTAATAAGATTGATAGTCTCGTTTATAGAAACCACAAGCATTGCTTGAAACTTCAAGTAATTTTATTTTCTTTTATCTGATTAATCAACTTAATTTAGTAACTTTAAAACATCACAGTCATCCTGTGAAATATACACATATCAAAATGTTATTCTGTATAAAATTCTAGAATTTCTATTAGGTTTTGTGAAAAGTTCAACTATAAGGACGCTTTACTTACCAATCAAGTCGTTATCTTGCTCTGTATATCGTGGAAAAAAGAACTCACTATGCACGGTGAGTGAAACCTGAGACACTCACGCCAGCCTGACTGTGGTGAGAGTGACCGCTCTGAGCGCCTGATGCAGCATGCAGCATGAGCACGATCTGCACTGCAGGTGTTGACATAACTTATGTCAACACAGCTCATGTTCGTCTGTTGCCGTGACTTATGTCATCAGGATGATTGGCGTTGCAATAGGTGTTGACTTGACTTATTTCAACACGGCTCACATTCATGTGTTGAAATAACTTATGTTAACAAGATGATTGTCGTGGTAACAACTGTTGCCATGACTTGTGTCAACACGGCACACGTTCATGCGTTGCCGTGACTTATGTCAACAGAAATATTGGCGTGACAGCAGGTGTTGACATGACTTAAGCTATCACGGCTCACATTCGTGTGTTTACATACTTTATGTCTACAAGATGGTTGGCGTGGTAACAGGTATTGTGATGACTTATGTCGACACGGTTTACGTTCATGTATTTACATGACTTATGTCAACATGACTCACATTCATATAATTACCAGTGCCAACTATCAAACCTGAAATGACGTTGCCGGGACATGAGAATTAGTCAACGGGCATACAAAGTAACTTGAACTGATTTTAATATAAAGAAATGTATAATGGACGCAAGTGAATTCTTTAGCTACCACCCATCATAATGCGAAAGGACAATGAAGTAGACGGTTAATTTGTAACACATTTCTTATAAAACAGTCAACGTAAAGTCTTATTCATTTCATACGAGCTAACTAAAAAGTGTCAAAAGTACAAAAAGCTGAAATTACCTTGCGCACCTTGCACCACTTCATTCATTGTTCACAATTTTTTTCGAATTTTAAATTATTTCCTCGAATGGGAGACAATTAATCAGCATTCATACAGCGGGATCACCAAACATAATTACATCAGTAAAGCGCCTGCCGGTAAGACGATAACTAAAGTAAATTTGTAGCTTATGAACTAGAACAGGACTAGAGATCAGCTTAGACCTATCAGCGAGCTTGCTCTATGTACATATAGACTCAAGATTAGTCAATCAAATTTGTATTATAGCTGAAAATTTTTGAAAAAATTTGGCATTTCCAAACCACTAAGGAGCTTGGGAAGTTTGTCTAATGTTCAACCACCAAAAAATTAAATCGTTAACTTGAAGAACAAGTTGTCATTTGGCCGTTCCTTGACGCCATGAAGGTTCTAGAGATTTCTAACCAAACTAAAATTCGTCTCATCTGAGAAACTCCAACTCCGCTCCAGCGTAAATCGCTATAGTAAATCGCCAGCGTAAATAGTTACGCATTCCAGCGTAAATCGATTCGCGTTCCAGCGTAAATCGTTATCACTCCAGCGTAAATCATTGGAACGTTACGTATCGTTCCAGCGTATAACGTAAACAATACGTAGTCCCGCTACGTAAGATTTCTCAAGGCGAACTTAAGAGTATTGCACAAACTTATTATGAATAGACCAAAACAGCAATAAAAAATACCATAACAAACAATTAACAGCATTTGCTTGTCATGGGCCGACTTCATCATAAGCTCAAAACATTGTATTTAGGTAATTTAGATAAATTTCAAGTCTAAAATGGCTACACATTCTTTGAAAATTCAACGAGAACAAACAAGCGATGTTTAAAAATTATGTAAAAAAAACAAATAGGCACTTCAATGCTGATGATTAATAGAATGATTGGAAAGCTAATAATTTGCAATGATTTTAGGCGACCGTAAGTCATATTAATTTCGTTTAGACAGATTCTACGTTAACAAGAACACGGAAATATGAACATGTGATGAAAGACGTGGCAGCTTTACTATACAAATAACTTTATTTCTAATAACAGATGCGATCTAAATTACTTTTTACAATGACTATTTCTTGCGTTGAACAAACGATCGGAGCTTTGACACCGATTGCTAGGGTTCATGAGTGCATTAATGATATTTTAATCATTACATTTTATATGATCTCCATTACCTGATGCATGCGTTTTCATCTATAGTTATATTGAAAACTCTTCTTTTGCAGGATCCGGTTGTCAGCAATTATAGCGTATATCCCTTATCATTACCCTGATGTTAATGCAGCAAGTTGCTCACTTTGTAGAAATATAAGGCCAAATTGTATCACTAAGTTATACAAAATCATTTCTTCGAAACGAAGAAACCATTAAAGAAAATTTCTTCAGACAAACGAGCCAATAATACCTGAAACCACCTTCTGTTGAATTTTTTTTTTGCATTTTTTCGAAAATAAGGAGCAAACACAAATTTTAATCTACACCGACTATACCGTCAATTGATACCAACTGGCCCATAATTGATACCAACTGGCCCGTTATTGAAACCAACTGGCCCATAATTGATACCACCTGGCCCATAATTGATACCAACTGGCCTATAATTGATACCAACTGGCCCATAATTGATACCAACTGGCCCGTAATTGATACCACCTGGCCCATAATTGATACCAACTGGCCTATAATTGATACCAACTGGCCCGCAATTGATACCAACTGGCCCGTAATTAATACCAAATGGCCCGTAAATTTAAACCAAGTGGCCGAAAAATTACAACGTTCGAACAAATATTGCTATAAATTGTCTTAATTTTTCAATGAAAATAATGTATCTGGCTTGGATAGCTGCACTTTCTAAAATATTTAAATGTTTGTTTAATTAGCACGCGGATTTTGGTTTATGAATTCAAGTTAGAAAATTTTCGAAGTATAATTTAGTTCTTAACCTGAAAATAGTAAGTAAAGGGTAATTTGGTAATTATGTATTTTTACTTATCTGAAAACTTTTGTAAAACTGACACTTCAGTTCCCTTCTAAAAATACAAACGACTAACTGGAGGCCGGTGAATGGCCGACGATAATCCGGCGTTCACACGCCCGTGATTTCTAACGCTGTCTCGTGTTTGGTGTCTCCTAGCACCTGTAAGATGGAAAAATAGAGCTGTTATTTTATAGCCAGATTTAAAGACAATCCCCTATGATTGCCCATCAAATCCATTAGTAGGTTTGAAATCATTAAAAAATTGGCATTATTCATCATGGACGTATAGATAGATGGAGAGGATAGGGTTAGTGTCGATCTTGATGTATCCACTAAAAATTTTATGTTCAATAAGTTCTCATTTTAATAGAGTGTGGAATAGATTAGAAGGCAATTCAGACTTTTAAATCAAAAAACATTTATCACTGCATTCACCAAGATGTTTTTGCTCACCTGTGTTGGAAGTAGAATATGACGATTTTGTGCGAAGTGTTGAATGCGAAATATGGCGCTGCGGCCGGTGTCGGACCTGTCGGTGGCTCGTATGGCTGCAGCTCAGCACTACTTCCTCGACATGAAACTTTTATGACTTGCAACTTGCCTGAAGTATTGATCTTCCGACGTATGACTTGTCAGACGTACAGATTATTCGACGTTCAATTTGTCTAATGAATAAATACTTCGACGACGTATAAACTGTATTACGTACGACTTTTCAGACGTACAAATTGTGTTAGGTACAACTTATCCGACATCATATTCTTCCTTTGTCCGCCATCGCGTATATAAATATTGAGTTCCAATCTTCGAGCTTCCCTTAAAATTACCCGATTAGCCCCACTCGTTTTTACTTTCAAGAAAATTCATCTCGCAGTTTTCAAATTTCAATGTGACTGATTTTAGGTGATTGATGGAAAAATTGTTATTATTACTGTCGGTGTTATAGCACTTTGCATTGATGGTTTTGAGAAGGAGGTGCTGAGATGTGTTGAGAGATTGCGTAGTGAATGCATTAATTTTTAAGAGAATATAATATAAGAATTATCACCGTCAACCATAGCCATATGGACGGCGCTCGGTCTTCTGTTGAACACTTTTGAGTCGAGATTTTATTTAGTTTCTGCATAAAAATTCACCGTCCTGAAGTTGATTTAGTGAATTATTTACAGCCAAACTGAGTGACGAGTCGCTGCTGAAATCGAAAATCTCCGTGGAAGCAATGCCACCGCTGGGATCTTGAAGAGAATTTTCTCCCGCTGACCTTGTAGATATGAAACTTTCATATCCGGGTTTGCAATTGATGTAACCATTTTCTCCGACCATGTTAATGTCTAAAAAACGTTCTCCCGCATGCGTAACATTGATTTTCACTCCGTAATCGCGTGGTTGGAATTCAGACTTGGTTGGAGTGAGAGCCAAGCTGCCGCCCGAGCACAGGTAGGGATCATTGATATTTTCTAACGACGCTTCAGGCCACAACGCCAGGCGTGAAGTCTCCAGACCTGCACAATGTGGAGACTGCGGAGTAGGTGGGGTAAATACATCCAGTCTTCTTCCAAGTCCATCTTCCCAGAACTCGACGGCCGCTCCGTCGATCAAGTCTATCGGTAAGTCCTCGGGTATGGACATAAGGTCATTAATGTTGTCCAGGTCGGATAAGACAGCGACGTTGGCAGAGGTGTTTTGGTTCCGCATGATGTCCGACGAGCTTGATTGCGGTAGGTCATGGGTGGCGAGAAATCCATCCAACGTCGTTAACGAACTCAACTGGAAATTGTCAATATTTTGAGTTAGATTTTGTTGATGATCTTTTTTGAGAAGAACGCTGTCCGGAGAAAGAGGCGGAGTCGTCATGGAGGGCAAATTCACATTCGGAGTTTTTATGCGTTCCAAACTGAACGATTTCACAGGCTTCATTTGTGATGAGTTGGATTCGCGCTTCTGAAGCTTTTGCAGAGCCCTAGTCAAATTTTCTGATAATACCAAGTTTTTTTCTTTCAATTTTATCGAGTTTTTGCATTTACTTTTGATGGCTTTAGAAGCTTCACTCACACCTCTGAGCGTTGAATCAGAGTCACGTCTCGGCATGTCCTCAGTTTTTTGGTCCCCGTTGTTCCCTCCCTTGACGGGTTTTTTCTTAGGCCTGTACTTGTAGTCAGGGTATTCCTTCTTGTGAAGCATTTTCAGTTTATCAGCTTCTTCCCTGTAGGGCTTCCGCTGTTCTTCGGTTAAAAGCTTCCATCTGCGGCCGAGCTGTTTGGAAATTTCTGCGTTGTGCATGTCGGGCGCCGAGGAGACGATACGGCGGCGCTCGAGCTGTGACCAGACCATGAAGGCGTTCATGGGGCGCTTCACGTGGTTAGGTGGGTGCTTCTTTGTCTGCATCAAGAAAATAATAAGTAAGATCATGGATGCTTTATTGTTTTGATTTGTTCATTTAATTGCGCACATTTTTGTTACAACTTGGCTTAAAATGAGGGAATGTTCGTTAAAATTTGCCGTAAAATATGAAAATTTCCTTGAGAATATGATTTTTTGAGCAAATCTTCTAGTTAGCAACATGATCTAAAATAATAAACTAAATTAGAATTAAAAATTGCAAGGACAAGAACATTTCTTGCTTATGCCAAAAATTTGCATCTTATGCGATCATTTGGTTTGTCCTCTAAATTAATATCTCTGAATTAAGGCCAAATTTTTCTTGGCATTATCATTAGTTTTTCTCTTGACTTGATACCAAAGTCAAAACAAGGAAATAAATCACTCATGATTTACACATAACCGTTCGTTATTTATGTAGATTTATCTTGCTAAATCAAATTCATGTCAGAAATTAATCAATATGTAAAAGGCTTGAGTAAAGGGAATCCTGCTTAAAAACTCAACATAATACCCGGTAAAAAAGTTTTGCTTAGAAAACAAAGTTAATTAATGGTTATTTAAGTATTCGTAAATTAAACATGTGCTAATTGGATAGTAATTTCGTTGCGAAGTGAATATGACGTTATTTTTCACGAGCAGCTGAAGCAGTTGCTCGTTAATTTAAGCGTTGTATAAATAATAAATGGGAAGCAATATCCAGCATTTATCTGTCGATAAATTCTTCACTCCAAGCCATGAGATATTGTGTGAATTTAACCTGCGTTTGTGGCTCTAAATTTCACAATTAAATCTCACTCGATAATTTTTTTCCTTTACTCAATTCTCATTGAGTAGGTGCACATAAATTCTTCAACATACGTGCAATTATTTTTGCAACGAACTCGGATTTTCATCAAACTAAATCTACGTCGTGTTTGCTATCGCACGTATTTCATTGGTTAAGAGAATTGGCTGGATAAGATTGTTGAATTTTAAACAATTATTGCAGTTAAGTAATTAATTTTAAAAAATTATCGATTTCTTTAGAAAAATAATTCAGAATAAGCTACAGAATCAAAACTAAGTGAACACGTGATATCGGGAAGAACGAGCGGAATGGATATAAGCATTACAGCTTAAAGCAACCTTCAAATCTTGGACGAAAATTTCAAAGCTGGAAGTTATGAAGAATTAGCATTTAGTATTATAAATTATGTACAAATACATATAAGAAGCAAATATAATTAAAAAATTTATCCGGTCCATCAGGCCGTAAGCCAATGGTTAATGTTAGCATCTCACCTTAGTGGCGTCCGAATATGGGGTCGAAGATTCGTAGCTCACGAATGATGAGCCGAAAATTAGAGATGACTGATGCTGCTGCTGGTCGGAGTTCGGACCCGACGAGAGGCTTGCATCACTCAGTAAGAATTCCATCCCGCAGCTATGCATTCAAATAATAAACTTCAAAAAATAGGAACAATCCTTTGAAAATTTAATCGATGTTAATAGGTAAATCCTTGTGATGAATTCGCACTATTTGGTTATCACAATTTATGTTCATTTTCATAAACTTCAAATTTCGTAATGAAAACTTTGGTTTTATATTTCAAACACTTATTCGTACAAGTCTCCGCGTGGATACATTGAAGCACAGGACGTCTCACTCACACCAAGGACTCGCTGTGCCAACTGACGGGTACGTGGCGGGTTGCCCTGCTTATATAGCGCCCGCCATGCTCCGCCCATTTTTGCGGTCATCTGAGTTTGCTCGTCGTGACAGTCAGTTAAAGTGCGAACAACTACTGCTGCAGCACCACTCTTTTGCTGTCATATAATCTGTGCAAACAGGTAAGAATAGCACTGTAATTAAAATTGTCGTGATAAATTTCTATCGTGTTTGATTAAAAGTAAAGAGGGCATCAACTCTAGGATGGCCGTCAGATACGCACTTGTGATTCATTAATACGCTGATTTTTTTTTTGTTTAAAAAAAGGACGTCTGTGTTAAGGATACGAAATAAATTTGAGGAAATACTCCGCATGCATGTTGCTGACTTAGCATAATCATAAAGATGAAACTTTACCTACCGCGAATTAATGAAGTTAGGCAGGCAAAATTATGCCCTTTTCAAGTTTCCAGTGCGTAATTCCCTTATTCGATGAGAAAAAGTTACAACTTCAGACCATATTTAGCAACGATTTTTACATTTTCCTGAGGAAACATTTGCGAATTTTAAATTTGACTTTTAATCGTAATCGTGTTAGGAGTTCATCCATCTAAAGCGTGTTTAATGTTACCTGGCGTTGTCGGTAATAAAAGATTTCTGAGGTTTATGGATCCTCCTAAGTTGATTTACTCTGAAAATTTTAGAAGTAAAGAATAATAATTTTAAAATGACTTTTCCCAAGCAATTTTTAATCTAAACTGCATTTAACTCCCGTTATGGAGATTGACAGAAACTTAAATTTTATATATGTGAACAAAATTTAATGTAGTAACTAGAAAATTTTTTGATTATTTTATTCCAACCGTGTTCCCCCGTTTCACAATTCCACCTTTTTACAATGAAATTTCAGGTCCATTTTATATCCTGACACGGCAGGTATTTTTGACACCCACTTAAGTCTTTATAGTTTACGGTGCCCGGCTTGCAACACTCACAGACGTACGAATATATTTTCCGATGTGTGCAGAAAATTGGCAGCACTTTTGTTGCTTTCTAAAAGACATTTGAATTTCCTAGAGAATCTTTGATTCAATACTTTACATGGATTACTTCTAAACTCTCCAAGTCTTACCTGGCATCGTTAACTAGACTAGTTAATATTTAATTTTCTAGGTGCAAAAATTCCTTCTATTTCAGTAGTACATAAAGATTCATTAACCTCACTATTCTAGCAATAGGGGAGATCTCTAGTAGCCCAGCAGGCATTCGGTGGTTGAATCAACGTTGAATCAACTACCTATTACGACCTTAAGATCGGGGTGAAAGGAGTTTTAGAATGAAAATTGAAGCAACGTCTCTCACGAAACGTCGTACTGACGTTTCAATGCAACGTAGAATCAATGTTGCCACTACGACATTCCTGCGACGTCAAATTCTCTGGTTGAATCGACATTGAAGAACCAATCTGTTTTTTGTTCGTAGCAGGATTTGAACCCGGGATCGCTGAAATGAGCTAAAGAATTGTTCGACTCCTTGAAAATTGAAATGCATTCTCTGGTCATTAATCGTACACTTATAAATATGTATTTCATTCAATGTTGGTGTGTTAGTAATGGTTCCATGCCGGTCAATAGCTAAACATTCAACGTACCGATATCGACCATTTTTCAACGTTGAAAAAAAGGTTGTTTTACGTCCTTTCTAGTTTTGGTCAGATTGCGACTTTAATCGGACGTTTAATTTGGGTTGTTAAGCATTTCAACCTGAAATCAACATTGATTCAACGTTTGAAAATTAGTAAAAGTTCAACGTGCCAATATCAACGTTATTTCAACGTTGAAATAAGATTGTTTTGCGTCCCTTCTAGTGTTGGTCAGATTTCGACGTTGATATGACGTTTAATTTTGGTTGTTCAACATTTCAACCTGAAATCACCCAATATTCAACGTTGTTTTAACGTCAGATGCCTGCTGGGAGCATTCAATAGTTCTAGATGCAAACAACGCTAGGTGCTGTACGCGTGTACGCACACCATTAATTAGTTTGGTTCTACATGCATACAATGCTAGGTGCCACACGTGTATGCGTGCACCATTAATTAGTTTGGTTCTACATGCATACAATAGGTGCCACACGTGTATGCGTGCGCCATTAATTAGTATGTTCTACATGCATACAATGCTAGGTGCCACACGTGTATGCGTGCGCCATTAATTAGTATGTTTTACATGCACACAATGCTAGGTGCCACACGTGTATGCGTGCGCCATTAATTAGTATGTTTTACATGCACACAATGCTAGGTGCCACACGTGTATGCGTGCGCCATTAATTAGTATGTTTTACATGCACACTATGCTAGGTGCCACACGTGTATACGTGCACCATTAATTAGTATCGTTCTTGATGAGCACAGTTCTAGGTGCCGCACTAGGGCACGCATACTAGGTAGAGCGGACGCTGGGTGACGGTTACCAGCCAATCATAGTGGCCAAATGGTGTTTGGTCTCATCCAATCATAGAAATGAATAAAAAACACGAGTTATATCGAATTCAATATCGAATTCGATATTGAATCGATATAATATTCGATCGAATATTATATCGAATTCCAAAATAATTCAAATTAAATAAACAAAATATGCAGTGCAACAGATGGTAATAATGTAGTAGTTCATTGCGGTAATATTATTCCACATTCTGGTGAATAAGAGCAATAGTTTAAACTGTCATCATAATATTGAATGTTAAAAATACCCTGATTGTTTATTCAGTCATGAAATTTGAAAATACCATTAATCAGTCGTTGCATTGTGTATCCAAAATTAGGCTTTACTAAAGAAATATCAATTCAAATTATGTATTTTCATGTAAAACGTATAATATCTACTCTGCTCGGCGTTGCCCGTGATAGGTAATTCCTGACATTGGAAAAAAACTTTTATCTCAAAGCAATCATCTTGTGTCGCTTCATCGCTATTACAGAAAATCATTCCTTCTCAAAAATACTTGATCTTAGTAATAGCCTTTCATACATTTGGAGCATGAAGCAGAGTTTAAGAGACGTATAAAAGTATTCTTCAACTCCCATTTTTATATATGATGAAAACTAACTTTTATTTTTCGGTGATTTTCTCTACCAGCACACCCCTTTCTCTCTCGTGCAATACCTCAAAATTTTCACATTACAAATGCAATTTCAGGTCCCTGTTATATCCCGGTCTCATTATCGTGGTAGCCATTTGGATATCGCCGTAGACAGACGAAATCCAGCAGTCCCGTTACATTGCGGCGCTAGGGTTACTACAAGGTTACTAAGACAGGTGATTGATGGTAAACTCACATGATTAAAAAATCGATTGAGATAAATAGTTTATTTTAATTACTGGTACATTTTACTGTGCTTTATTTTTATTGTGGCTAACTTGCAGCTACCTTAGTGATTTGCACATCGCCTCCAAAGTGTTGAGCAATAATATGAAATGCCTAAAGTTTTGGCGTAAAGGTTAATATATGTATTGAATTATCGCCTCTATTATTATTCATCTACAAATTAGATATCCTGCAAAGCTTATAAGGCTTTTCATCGGGCTTACACTGAACCATTTTTACTGTGGTGTAGATTTATTATTATAAATATTATATTTATTATAATACTAATAGAAGGGCTTTATTTCGCGGAAGCAAAATTTGACACCTACTTACCATATTATCTCCCCTACATGCTAAAGTCCTGTCTATAAATATATGAGTCCCTAATTGCTCCTCTGTCCGGTGATATTCTTGAATTTAGTCACTATTTGCACAATTCAAACTTTAAGTTTGAAACCATGTTTTTGCTGAAACTCTACGGAATTTGGAACGAACATTAAACTATCTCTAGTAGCAAATCCTCCAAAAAAAATTTCGTGTAAAGAGAATACAAACTCGGTTGAGAATTATACAATAGTTGTCGAGGATGAAATATTTTAGCGAAAAATTTGAAAAAATTTTATATATAAAAAGAATCTAGTCAGTGAGCTCAGATGACTCGTTTCCTCAAGGAGAATTCTTAGGTTGTGACACATACGACCTTGGTGACGTTTTTGTTCCCATTTTTGTTCATAGGGTAATTTTTTTTCATCAGTTCATCGCTTCTGTTGCTGCCGTATAAATAGATGCACATTCGGTCTTTATTCGATCACAAACCAATTTTATTCCAACACATTAGTAGTTTCAATTTTTTCTTTTAAATTTCATTACTTTCAAGGATAGTAATTATAAAATTTCAATATATTTTGATCGTAATATAATATAAATTTCACGCATTTTTAGAAATTTTTTTAATCCCACTATTAAGTATGCACCATTAAAAATTGAAGGTGAAATTCCAAAGTCTTATATGTCCGGGAAATATTTATTTGTACCATAAATAAATTTAAAACTTGATCAATGATTCAATGTATTATAAAATCACTAAGTAGAGAAGCAATAAGCTAAGGATCTCATAAACAGATGACTACTCATACATTTCCATAATTTTCCTCACAACAATAAAAGTTTTCGGAAAATAAATCTATAAAATATGTAATGTTACTTTCTATGCGTTTGATATCAATTAAAAGAATTCGAGACTCTCTAATTTTCTACTAGAATAAATATCATTATCTTCTAATCTATGACTTAGATTAGGATCTTCTTCCGAACCAAAATATCCCATGATTTATAGATGATAATATTAGAAATTTTTCCTCGGATAATGATGCCGAAGTCAAACGTCAAGTTAATGAAGCATCGCATGACCGTGGTTTCAGTTAAACCGGGTGCGCATCAAAAGCATTTACCCGGCATGAATCATGCAGACATACGAGCGGTGCTTCTCATGCAGTGCCGCTGCTATGGTATGATTCAGCTTAGGTTTTTGTATGCCCTCAGTCTTATTTATGCCCATAGGCGTGATTCAGAGGGATACCCGAACACTCAACCTGTCCCCTGGTGCTGTGCTCGCGTCGCGTGTTAAGCGCGCCGTTTAAAAGTTCAATGCTTACTGTAAATATCCACACGAAATACTGTTTCTTCAAATATGTTTCACATTAACATAATTGTTATATTTATTGAATAACGCTTGCCTTCAATGGACGCGTTCCCTAATAAGTGACTAATAATTAGTCCTAAATATGCGAATTGACAATAACCCTGCACACTGCTAATCTAGACATGAGAAGGTTAGCGACAAATATTATACGGCTACAAATTTATGCAGCGTAGTTTCGCTATCTCATGAAATTAGCCTTAAATGCATCTTATTCAAGAGGCATTCATCTTCGTGAACGGCTTGATTTATGAAATAGATATCTCAACTGGTCTATGATGCCTGATCTGAACGCGTAGCGTCTTCAACAGATGAAAAATAAGTGAGAATTATATTAGAATAATGCTAGTTACTTGTTACTAGCAAATTATCTCATTGCATTTTTTATTATTTGTACAAAACATGAAATTTCGCATGTTCTACTAAAGTCCCACCTGCAAAAACGTACGCTGTCAGAAAGAAAATAGAAAATAAAAGCAACATTACGTAGAGGGACTAATTTTGTTTCAAGGAGATCCCTGTTTATTCTAAGACAGTCTCATATTTTAAGCCCAATACTTTTGTTCTTCAGGCTAACAATACGACTGAATCAGGGTAGGAAAATTTCATGGTGCTATTGCAGAACCCAGCAGCTTGACATGCACTGCCTCTGCCTCTAGCATTCTAATATTAGCCGAAGAGTAGCAATAAAAATTAAATATATGAACAAATGGGGAAAATATCAAAATGAATTTAGTGTATTGTTGAATTTGACAATACAAACTCATGAAAAATTTGCTTGTTTCTGCTAGAATCATTGTTACCGCAAAGTATTTTAATGAAATTGAAATGTTTCATGCCAATAATCCGGTAGTCTTTGGTACGCTCAGAGCGATGGACTTACATGTACAATTAGAAAGGTCAACGAACCCTTGTGACAGTGAGCTGATGTGTCTGTAATGAAGAGAATTTGGATTTGCCCGCCTAGATAAATGATGCCGGTAAGGCTTAGTTATTATTTTCTTAACTGTCATTTCATATGATAGTGATCATTTCATAATATCATATCATAATCATGGCTGTGCGAGCATTCCTTTGCCATTCTGGCAGTGAGCTGATATGTCTTTTATACAGATAAGCGGATACTCTCGATCAATGATATAATAAAGAAAATAAATGAGTTAGTATCTCTATTCTGTTGTGGCAGTGATCTAATTTGTGTTTAATGCAGAGAAGGATGACATGCCTCTCTAGATAAATCGCCGAAGAAATTAACTGACGGGCTTTCATTTCCTGTTGCGGCTGCAATGAACTAATTTGTCTCTAATTCGGACAACGCTGATATGCTCGCTAAGGTGTAATAATTAGCTTGTCAGAAATGTAATTAATTTGAGATTAAGTGGTCAGCGGGTGATAAGCTGCCTGCTTGGAATATGCGTGGTTTGGAAAATTCTTCATTTTTTTATTTGCACGCACGCACACATCAAACTGAAGTAGTTGAGTTCATCTCACTGACTTGCCATTTCTAAATAATGTGCAGCAAAAATTCGTTTTAAGTGAATATGAAATATTTATTGTTGAATTTTACATTTTGTGAGACTATTAATAAGGTATCATATATAATTTAATGTATCCTGTGCTAAGTCTTCAGATTAAAGTGCTAAAAAATCTTTCAATGAAAGGATTTTATAGGGTTATATAAACCATCAAATCATACGTGAAGACCATAAATTCCATCCTTGAAAATGGAAATAACTCACTGTGTAATAACCTACATTAGAGTGTCGTGAAAAAATGATTGTTTACCTTCTAACGAACAGATACATCGGATTATATTCCTCTAATATTGTTAGAAATAAATTCTAAGAATTTCCTGCATAATTAGGAATACTCAATCATGATCTGAACACAACGGAAACGGTCCGTTAAAACCTACAAGGGCAAGGGAATAAACGCTGTGCACAAACTCCAGGAGTGACATCTGGTGAAAAAATACATAAATATTCAATAATATTGTTTGATGGAATCTTTCATCGTTTAAGTTTGTGTTTACGAATTCGTGAATTTCGGAGAATGATGTGCAGAAATGTGTATCTATTTCAAATCCCCCATTTCCCTGAAATAACTTTACATGATAATCGGTTCTAATTATTGACCTGAAAACCTTGAAATAAGAAAAATAACATCTAGGCGCAAAAAGAATTGAATAATTCATTTTAAAAGATTGGCTGTGTTACAAATTATGAAACTTTGAGAACGCGATTGATATGACCTTCGCCCATATAATTTTTTCTGTATAGCCAATTAATTCACCGACGCTGCATCACCATTAGATATAATGTAGTCATGTGCTTCAGTTCGTGACTAAGCCCTTATCATTATGACGTACACTTATATACGCTTATATCATTGCGACTTTATTCACTGAGCGACTGGTCTAGAAGCATCAACCAATTTTGTTATTATTTCGGTAGTTGCGAAAGCTCATATGAGGGCGCTTAGCAGCAGATATGTTTAATGACGACTTAAGTTATTTTACGATCCATAGTCAATAAAATTTCTTTCCATCGAACAATGAGACGTTATTTCCCGGCATTAATTTTCAGAATGTCGTCTCATTCAATTGATCTTAAACCTCAGCCAAAGTCGGAATACATGAGTTATTTAGGGCTGCTAAAATTTACACGTGGTTGTGAATACGAATTTCTTTTTTCGTTCCTTCCGACACATTTGTAATTTGATCATTGTATTTTATTATCTTAGTAAAAAATTTTGGTGAGAATATATGGATGAATATGATTTAATGACCAGTAGACATTACTCCTGAAGGAAGGAGTCCCGTTGCCGTGTGTTCAGCAATCCTCTTAATGAGATCCCTCACTTGATGTTCGGTCATGTCATCGCAGCCTCCCAGCAACGGACAGAACTCAAACTTGTACCCAAATGGCGAAGCTGCGAGAAGGTACACGTTAAAAATCAGGGCTATTACAGCGAACACGATCACCAGCAACCTGTCCAGAGTTCTGGATACAAATTTCCATTCATCTTGGATGACCGACTGCCTCTGTGCCTTGACGCTGGCGCTGTCCTGCTTCTCGAATAAAGCTGCGAGCTTCTCTACGGCGCTACACGCGCGGCGCTCGTAGGCGTCTGTAAATTTGAAATCTTTACTCACAATTAACCTAAGTATTGTACCATAGCATAAAATTTTCTGTAATATTGTATAAATATTACCTTATCTGTTCATACGCTAATCAATAAATGTCAAGGAAACGAGCATTGCAGGTGCGAGTAGCTCACGGGTTCGGTATCGCAACTAACCTCACTCTCGATGACACTCGTATTCAGCACAGTAAAACTGGTGTCTAAAGTATTCATATATTTGAAGTTCATCTTTTGTTTTCTAAAATTATTATTGGCTCTTTAAAATCTAGCCCATTATATTTTACTCCTTTCACCATTTGCTCCTTTCACCATTTACTCCTTTCACCATTTGCTCCTTTCACCATTTACTATTGTCATTATTTACTCGTTTCACCATTTACTCCTTACACCATTTACTTATTTCATTATTTACTCCTTTTACTATTTGCTCCTTTCACCATATACTCCTTTCACCATATACTCCTTTCACCATATACTCCTTTCACCATATACTCCTTTCATCATATACTCCTTTCACCATATACTCATTTCACCATATACTCCATTCACCATTAACTCCTTTCACCATTTACTCCTTTCAACATATACTCCTTTCACCATATACTCATTTCACCATATACTCATTTCACCATATACTCATTTCACCATATACTCCATTCACCATTAACTCCTTTCACCATTTACTCCTTTCACCATATACTCCTTTCACTATTTACTCCTTTCACTTTACTTCTTTCACCACTTACTCCTTTCACCATTCGTGTTTGTTAGTAATATAGTTGGTTAGTAAACCATAATCAGTTATCATACCTTTTAGTGGGGGCGGTTGGTTGGCAGCGGGGACGAAGTCTGGGAAAAGTTCCCTGATGTGGTCGGGTAGGTCGGGGTTGTCGGAGTTGCTCAGAATCTCGACTTTAGTCGAGACAATCGCTGCGTCCTGGGGCATTAAATTGAGCAAGTGAATACTTTAGCGAAAGCCAAAATTCACAGTCTAAAGAGCGGATAACACCGGAATATAATTAATATTTCATTATTCAATTAGAATACAGAAAAATAAATTTATATGGGTTCATGTCTTTTTCATTTACATCATAACTCCGTTTAATATCGGATGCTGAATACAGAAATTTAAATCCCATAAACTATTAAAAAATATCGAAACCTTATATTTCAAAATCCTCATTAATTACGTTTTATGTAGTAGAAGTAACATAGGTCAAGAATGTACACAAAGTATCACACATTTTGTAAAATTAATTATGCTACTTTGTCGAGTTTGTTCCAGGCCTTGGCGACCCCAGGCGGTACAGGCACCCGTAAGGCGGACGCGAGTAAAAGCGACGCCCGCCTGTGCTGAGTAAAATTTATAAAAATATAACTCAATACTCGCTGCAGTGGGTGACAGAGAGCGCATTTTCTCGTCGACGAAAACTTGAGGTCACGGACAGACGGACGGACAGATGGACAGACAGACAAACAGACGGTCAGACGGACATGGCGAGCACAATAGTGCATTTTTTCCAAAAATGAGAAAATGCGCTAAAAATGTGATTATATTTTATTTTTAGCGCATTTTCTCATTTACTGAAAAAATGCACTATTGTGCTCGTCATGTCCGTCCGTCTGTCTGTCCTTCCGTGACTTCACGTTTTCGTCGACGAGAAAATGCGCACTCTGTCACTTACTGCAGTGAGTACTGGGTTATATTTTTAGCTATTATATAGTATAAATTTCATTATTATATATTTACAGTATTATTATAGAGTAGGTATATTGCTATTATCACCAGCGATCGCTAAAATATCGATAAAAATTGTGACACTCTCAGTATTGTGGATCAACATAATGTTTAAACACTCAGTGATGTTATAATATATAAGTTTAGATGATTAATTTAGTTTCAGTTATTTTTAAACACCAGCTGCATGTCTCTTAATATACACATAAGGTTTTCTTGATGTATTAGGTTATGTTTGGAAATTAATTTGTATTTGATTTTTCCCGAATAGTATTTAGGCTATTTTCAGGTGAATTCACCAAACATCAAACCCTCAAACTTGTATTAAATGAAGCCTAGAAAAATGCAGATTTATCGTGCGAACCCTGATCCTGAATTTTAAAAAAAATCTAGGTATAACAATTATGTGAATTTCGTTTCTGAAGCCCTTAACTCTTTGCTATGCTTGTTTCAATAAAATTTCAGACAATGTTCCAATTCATTGACAAAATCAATACATTTCGTTTAACCTAATATTTTGTAATTCAGTTTCAATGGCCTTAGTTTTGCTGTATTGATAATATAATAGCGCAAAACTTCAAAAAAAAAAAATTGGACACCGTAGCCTTTTTATTCGTCCTTTTTCTACGGAAAATGATTCGCACCAGCTTAATCTAAAACTTCAAGCATCGTTTTGCATTTAAAATTGAACAGATCTCTAACTCGATACAATGTGAACAGTCAAAAGAGTTTCCTTTGGTTAAAAACAAATATCTCACTCGCCTCATCGGCCTCGGGACAACAAAACCCCGCAGGCCCGTGTAGTTCAGGTTCAGGACGTACACGGAGAAGGCGATGTTGATGGCTACCAGCGACAGACACACTCCGTAGTACACACCTGAACACAAACCTCGTGTCAGCTTGAATATTCAGTGAATTATTAGCGAACTATCGCAAATGTCACACTCAGAGAAAAAAATGCGAATTGATTCAAATATTAATGCACTCTCTGTCCTTGTGTGCCCTATCAGTACTCAGTTTGACCATGGGACTCTTGGGACTCGCCAGCGAGCGGCAGCTTCTCAGTTGGTGGCAGGTTCTCGGTCATGGCGATAAGGAAGACAATCATGGCCAACATCGAGTTGACGCCCAAGCCAACTTTCTCGCCTGACTCGACCGGGAGTAGGAACACCAGCAACGCTGGCACATGGAACAAACAACGATATGATTGGTCAATCTTACGATTGACGACTGAATCTATAAGTTAACATTAAAGTAGGCAACGCCGCCCGGTATTAATATAATAAAAAAGGCGTTTAAACGTTTTTCTGCAATATTTCTGTAATGAATAAGGTGTTTTCATTACAGCTTTCCATTTCTTCTCATGATTGTAGTAAAGCAATATATAATAATAGGACAAGATCCCTGATTTACTCAAGGATTGCAGATTCACCCTAGTATAGTTTTAATCTGACTGAATCAAGTAAAGGTGAGCGGCAAAATTACCGGCAGTACTCATCCTTGTAATTATTCATCATAAACTAATTTCTCAGTTCATCATCCACAAACAATTCAAATAGCACGAAGAGCTCCAGTAAAATGTCCAATAAACCACCCACAAGCCCCGGAGATTTTTAGAAAATAACAATAATAACTCGAAGAATATTGTACACTAAACACGTACAATCTTTGTTATACTCGTAGAATATAGTACACTTAACACATACAATGTTTGCTATACTCTGAGGATATTGTGCACTTAACACATACAATGTTTGCTATACTCTGAGGATATTGTACACTTAACACATACAATGTTTGCTATGCTCTGAGGATATTGTTCACTCAACACGTACAATGTTTGCTATACTCTGAGGATATTGTGCTCTCACCGCAAATGTTGATGAGAATGCCTGGCACAACGTAGAAGAAAAGCGCAAACTTGCTCTGTCGCTGCAGCTGTACCACGTACTTCAAGGCTGTAAGTATGTCATGTACGTTATTCTGTAAATCAATAAACAATCTACTCATGCCGAACATCTAGTGAGATGGGATACTATTAGTGCTTCTTAACCAGTGCCTTTTCCAAAAGTAGATAAAAGCATGTTTACAATAGAAGTTAGAATAAAGTGAACCTCATTCTCAAGTCATAGGTGAATATATATCTAAATATCTCTTATATTTCACAGTAATGAAAACTGATTCAAATCCATTCAATATAAAACCAATCTTCTTAAATCAGAATGTTGTATAGTTCTACGTCGCATAAAATCATACTGTAACGAAACCATCATATCAGATGTCTAATTTTTCCATAAAATTTATAAAGTATAACGAAGAGTGCGTGTTGATTTATAATTACTTGAGAACGGCAGAGGGCAGCAGTCGTTGAATTCCTCCGTCTTGGTCACGTAGAAATCTTCCAGAAAGAATTCTGGGTTTTCGTTGAAGTGGCCGATGTCAACCATCGCTTCCGACACGACGATCTGGGAAAAATATGTGAAACTTTCATGACTAATAATCCTAATAAATCCTAATCCTAATCCTAATAAATCCTAAAATGACTAATAAGTCATTTCTTATAACGTCGTTCTGAACATGAAAATATAATTGTTTGGCGGACGAAAGAATTTTATCAGGTTACTATAAAGTGATGCACTCAAACTATGCTAAATCTAAAAATACTTAGCCTAAAAACTGAATGTTAAAAATAATAGAAGTAAACAGTGGTAACTTTGTGGTTACGTGAGGAAACTAAAGACTTGTTAAGTTACATAATGACTGGACAATCAAGTCGGACTTACGTTTGTGACGTCGTACGTCCAGGAAGAGAACTTCATCTGGCAAGCCTGCTGATCGAAAGGATAGAACTCAACGTTGACATCACAGACTGAACAGAAAATGGCGTGACTCATCAGTTCTATTTTGCCCTCGGACGACAGGATGGCGTTAGTGCTTAAGATCGAGCTCTGGTAGTTCGGTTCTGCCCTGAACAAAGTATCCAACAACATGAGACGATTGGGAAATTGAAATGAATATTATGAACGAGCAATTTGATGATAATGAAATATTTAAAAAATCAACTAATTGTGCATGTATGTATTGTTATGTATGTGATTCAAAATTGAAATTGGAATGGTTGATAGCAAATATTGACATGAATTGAAAATGTATTAGTAAATAAATATAAGGAGTAAAGAAGTTGGTAACAAATGGAAGATGAAAAAAAGTTTTAATTTTATTCTACTCCTTCCATCTAGAATTATTTTCAAGATTTCATTCATTTCTTTCCTGTTGTTTACATTTCATAATTTTGATTCTTAGAGGCACGATTAGTTGCTTGCTAAGCTTATTCACGTCGCACAATTAACGTGAAATTGATTACAATGGAAGCTAAGTCCTAATTAAGCGTTTTAGCGCATTTTCTCATTTATGCAAAAAATGCACTATTGTGCTCGCCATGTCCGTCCGTCCGTCTGTCCGTCCGCGACTTCACGTTTTCGTCGAAGAGAAAATGCTCTGTGTGTCACTCACTGCAGTGAGTACTGAGTTATATCGCCATGTCCGTCCGTCCGTCTGTCCGGCTGTCCGTCCGTGACTTCACGTTATATTTTATTTCTATTACGTGTTGTAGAGAATAATGTCAGGCGTCCAGATGAGGTGGTGGGCTACCCGCAAGGTCTCGACCCCCTCGAACAGAGCGGGGTCCCAGGACAGGTGCACGTCTGTCCACAGGAGGATGAGCTCGGTGTTGATACGCAGCTTACGGTACCGAGTGTCCTGCGTAACAAATCAACAACCATAAGATAATTTAGTGAACGATAATTTCAACATTTACTGCAATGATCTCCCGCGTAACAATTCATCAATCACAGGAAAATTCAATGGAATGATTACTTTATATAACTTTTTACATAAAACAAATATTTAGTTATAAATACATAGTTTTATTTTAAGACTTTATTTTCATTTATATTTTTAAAGCGTGTCAACTTGCACCTGAGAAAGTGAAAATGTTTCAATGACATGGTTAGCTAATACGATACATGTATTTTTCTAAAATAAAAGAAAAAGTTCTGCAAATTTTCTAAAAAATTTCCCAGAAGAAAAATGGACAGATTTTCCTCATTTAGAGATGGAAAGGTGGGGTGAGAGTCTATTTAGACATTGCCAGAGAAATTCAATCGTTATTTAGCAAAGATTATTGCTACAACAGAAAATCTTAAAACGTGAACAGATTTTGGGCACCTATACGGAACTGCACCTAATGTCTGATTAGTGATTAGTAAACTATAGTAAAATAAAGGCAACTCCTTAAGTAGAAAACGTTTAAACTAATTTCTCACCATTTCCATGATATCCAACAAAGATATTTTGAAAGTAACGTAGGTAACTTCACCACCCGTTGTAGTTGGTCGGATGTTCTTATTGTACCCAGCAAAGAGCTTGTCTGCTAAACGCTGTTCCGCTGTTACCATCGAAGGGTCAGAGTACGACTCAAATTTTCTCTCCTTCGACATGTTTTGATTGTTTCTTTGAATTCCATTAGGCTCTTCGACTTCTATTTCAGTGTCCACCTCAGTGTAGGGTACGACGTTTTGCTCAGTTTCTGTTGACCGTCTTTGTTTATTGTGCTTCGATTCTTTTACTTGAAAAGGTCCTTGTCCCTCTCGCATGAGATCTTGATGCAGTTCTTTGGAAATATAAGATGGCATGGGAGAGCGAGGATTTGATTGATATTTGACCCTTGATTTTATATCTTGGTTCCTGGATGCTGCGTAAAATACAGCCGGATCCGATGAATGCATATCGAACAAATCAGACAACGATATTTGCGAATGATGGAGAAGAGAAGTGTCTTGTTTCTGCAATTCCCTTGCGTTTTCAGGCAAGCGTGAGGTGTATTTGCTAACTTCATTCTTTTCATCAAGCCACGAATCAATTTTTATGGATCCTTCTTCACTGTCGGTCACTTCAAAAATTTCTTCGTGGATCAGATTTTCAAGATTCATTTTCTTTCTGGCGTTGGGTTTGATGTTGGGTAAAGCTTCTTTGTGCCGTGTAGGTGTTAAGGTGGCCGAGTCGTCGACAGGGCTAAGAAAGTCAAAACCCCGTTTCTCCGTTGCATTGGTTGAGAATTTTGAGGACTTGAGCTGATCTTTTCCCAGCACTAAAGAGAAGAAATTATAATTATCCTATTTTGTTTAAATTGTTTATTTTTGTCATCGAATTATGAAGAAAATTAACAGGGACATTTATTCATTGCTGAGTAAAAAATAAATTTCTCCACAACTGACAGCTATGAGATGCAGGTGATCAAACAGCAACAAACAATCATGCAGTAACAGTCAATCAAACAGTAACAGTAAGTGAAACAGTAACAGTAATAAGACAGTAACAGTAGGTGAAACAGTAACAGTAGTAAGACAGTAACAGTAAGTGAAACAATAACAGTTGTTGATCAAATATCAATATTTGATCAAACAGTAAAAGTTTATCAGATAGTACTTGTTGATCTAAGATTAACAGTTTAGTACATTTGTTGCTTCTAATTTGAGGAAATTACCTACGAACGTCAGTGCAATTGTACGAAGATTAGAAGCACCGGAAAGATCTAAGCATAAACAATCTTTCACAAACCTTGAAGTAAAATCAACGTAAATAAGATAAGTTGAATTTGGGGCTTCATAGTAATTTAATTTGATTTTTTTAACACTGATGATAATAAACGTTTTCTTGTGATAAAAATTTAATTCATTGTTTCTTGTAATGTAAATTCATCTCATTTAGGCTGGTATAAAGCAACCACGTCGTCTCCAGCGTACGTCTGGCAAGTAAATGATTATGTGGAAGCCAATTTCTAGTCTCGCTCTGATGCTTTTTGTGCTTTTGAAAAAAAACTTCTATTAGAATCTTGGCGGCCAGCCGATATGCCGATGCCCAAGTGATTGCCTTATGAAAAATTCACGAGCAAAAATGCATACTCTCACTAATTCTTTATCACATCTAAAGCATTGCTATGTTCAAAAAAGCAGCAAAAAATATTCATTTTTCTTTATAAATTTACAACATGTGTCTATACTTGGCCTTCTTACAATTAAAATTTGTTGCAATTCAGTCGAAAAAAAAACTCAGTTCAGCCTATTGCAAGTGTTACTACTGGAAGCAGGTGGTATTGAGGGAACAATTATAGATTATTCAATTTTACACGCAGGGTTTAGCAGAGCCAGCGCCACGCCACGGAACTGTCTAGTTAGTTACAGAATATTTTATTATGATAATCATTATATTTTGATACACATAATATGATATGGTAATAGATAATTTATAATTCGCTTACAAAATGGTTTAGTTTAAAAAAATAGTTATTTGTTACATGCACAATATGCTACGTGAAGGTTTGCGAAGAAAATAATCAATTTATTTGTTACTATGTTATTTATTGCAGTTATTATAGATTTAGAAACCAACTAATAAGCGCATGATTGTGTTACTTCGGATAATTAATCAGTATAACTAGTCGGATATAGAATCATTAATAATGAAATTCATGGTGGTTACTCAGCCCTTGCAATAGTTTGATAGACAAAGTAGCATAAGGGCGGCAACCTTTTTGATCCATAAAATATTACAATAGAGGTTATTATTCTTATAAGTATAGTATTGTGGGCCAAGTGTAATCTAGATATTTGTTTTATACGAGAAATTAGTGTAAACGAGGATTTAGAAACAAATGCAAGTCGCTCGTTTCTTTGAGCTGCATGTCAAGCCAATGTGCTCACCAGCCCGTGCGTGCCTGGCTTCATCGCCACATTAAATAGAGTGGCAACGTTAGGACAGTCGGCCACTGCGTTGACTCTGCCCTCAGACAGTCCTTCCCTCGGTCAGTCCTTCTCTCTGAAAGTCCTTCCATCAATCAGCCCTTCCCGCAGTCAATCCTTCCCTCAGTCAATCCTTCCCTCAGTCAATTCTTCCCTCAGTCAATCCTTCCCTCAGTCAATCCTTCCCTCAGTCAATCCTTCCCTCAGTCAATCCTTCCCTCAGTCAATCCTTCCCTCAGTCAGTCCTTCCCGCAGTCAGTCCTTCCCGCAGTCAGTCCTTCCCTCAGTCAGTCCTTCCCTCAGTCAGTCCTTCCCTCAGTCAGTCCTTCCCGCAGTCAGGCCTTCCCACAGTTAGTTCTTCCCTCAGTCAGGCCTTCCCTCAGTCAATCCCTCCCTCAGTCAATCCCTCCCTCAGTCAATCCCTCCCTCAGTCAATCCTTCTCTCAGTCAGTCTTGCCCTCAGTCGTCAATCTGTGCTCAGTTGTCATTATTCTCGAAACCTGATTCACTCCAATTAGGTACATAAAAAACTATCAAACACAGATAAAAATATTCTGTTTTCACTGAAATAAAACAACGAGTTTGAACTACTCGTAGGTTTTTATAAATGCAGGATCTGCAGTCTACGATTCAGCTGGCATGAACGCTTTACTGTTGATTTGAAGTAGTATCAGTTCTATTTAATTCTGCACGTGACAGAGCAATAAATCTAAGCGCATAATAAAGAGGCTTTATGCATGCTGGTAATTCTAATTAAATGAAGGCAATCAAGCTTTTATTTCTAGAATCATTTAGTAGCCTACTAGTCGCTCGCCATCGCCGTGGCATGAGTGCTCATCATCTTGTCACAGCTCGTGTTTTGACTTTAAGCTATGCTATCAGATTATTGGTTCCGGGTTCTTAGAAGTGGTCTAGTCTTAGACAGCCAAGGGGACTGAAAGACAGAGTTGACTTTAAGTGAACTATATTATATTACGGAACGCGTGACAAAGCGGGGTGACTATATTAGCAAGGCTTTAGCTTCAGCCAGCAAACGTGTTGCTAGAGTGGCTGGCGAGTGACTGACTATCGGTGCTGAAGGCACGGTAGAGAACCGCAAGTGTGATGTCACTGAAGGTGGCACACACAATCAATGAACAGCTGAGGATGTCGGTCAATACCGGACAATCTCATCAACATCTGGATGAGATTACTCATCAATACATCATTAATATCCTGATGTTATAGCTTTATTTATCGATATTACAGGTCCTGTATTATACAGACTGATTCAGACGAGGTTCGAGTATGCTTCACTGAATACTTTAAAACAATGTGGCATACCTGTAATTTGTATTCTGCTCCAGTAAGTCGTATTCCGCACGTTTTGTACTGGCGCAAGGCACAGTCATTCTAATCAATGGTTCACGTTGTCATGCAATGCTTAGTTGAAACATTCTTATGTAATATTCCTAAATCAATTGCATCAAAAAAATCAAATATTGCCTTGTGTACGATTGCATTAAATTGAACAGTATGCGCATTTACACACGTATCTTAAGCTACGCATCTTCATATATTTATTGTGATATTGCATATATATTGTACAATGGCTGTTCTTAAAGAACGAAGTAAAGCCTGACATACGCAGTTACCTCACTACAGATTGCACGCGATACCTGCAGTGCACCTAATATTTACCATCTCTTCAAATTTAATAAGTCAGTCTTTCTACTATCCTCCCGTGTTAGCCATCGGCTAGAACAAAGCCCAGCGCAACTAAATCTTTAATTGCAGTCTTGCCACGTAATTAATAGCTGCTGGATATCTGCTGTACACGCGACTATACTGCCATTCAGAACAATTTCTCGTGTTCTGCCTTCTTAATAAAGCACACTGTTGATTGCCAACCATGTTGGGAATATTCTACACTGAAAGTCACTGCACTATAAGTACGAAACTTGAACAAGGATCTGTCAACGATGTTGGAACTGCAGCTATTATATACGGATATATGCATGTGGCACGCGATACCTGATTCTCCTGAGTCGCCATGTACTTTATGCAAACGGAAGAATAAAAATTATGTGCTAAATATTAAATCAAATTCATCAGCTCAGTAGTATTCCTTTTCGTTCCTCAATAAACGTCAGCTGTTAGCCTAAATAATTCTCGAGTGCAAGAGTGATAACATCGCTAAATGCCGGCAGCTGAGAATTTATGTATACTCCATATCTTGTTTCAGTCACGCTGCATGTGAGCTTCCAGTGGGCGCTTTTCATTTCGCGAGGGCGAAATTGTAAGAAATTTTTGGGTAGAATTTATGATATTTCCACGTCATTCTGTGAAGCTGGTGGCCAACTGAAATTTAATAAAAGATTTGAATGGTTTCAAAAATTTGTTGCACACAATATCGCACTCTATAATCGTGATTCAAATAAAGGTGGTAATGTAATTTCATTTGAAATTACATTACCTCACTTTTTTATCTTGCTCCTATTTTTGTATTGTACATATAATGTACCAGTAATATTAAAAATATCTTTAAGTTTAACATTCTCTATGTTTGGTTGACCGAAGGCATGGTGTAGCGCGTGCGTGACGAAGCTATCCTAACTACCTGAGCGTGGCACTGGCATAAATTAGCGTGACTTAGTCAACATGGCGATGTACTTTTGCACTTGTGTGAGTCATTCTGACCCACTTTAGCACGGCAAAAGAGCGTATTAGTGCTACGGCCGGTCTCTGCTAGTACTATGGAATAAGTAAGTGTGCCACTTTTTGGACACTGCCCTATAGTAAGGGATCTGAGTGCGAGGTAATTTTCTAGTCTATTTAAAAGCTGTTCAAATATTCCTTCTGAAGAGAAACCTATTCGTTCCAGAGGTTCGAAACTCAATTTTCATCAATCAGTCATTATCTGATCCATACGACAAACGCATGTTAGACTCTAGTCAAAAATGCATCCACTGAAGCGCTATTTGATCGTTCAGAATAGAACATGCATTGACTCGGGCGAGGTATTATCGTATGAAAGCACGCAACATAGGAATAACTTTGATCACTGAATCTTTTAATTTAAATGTATACTTTTATTTTACGCAGGAGTCAGGATGACAACTAATTATTTTTCTTTATTTTTTTTTCTTCTTATTTAACGTACGAATCAGTATGATCACTGAATCATTCTATTCAACTTTTTTTATTCAACATTTAGATCGTACGATTACTGAATCTTTTTTATTTATTATTTAATTCATTTCATTAAAGAAAAGAATCATTATGATCACTTGGTCTTAGTATTTAGCTTTTGCCCTCTGCATGTTCCTGTAAACGACTTGCTTTCTTCACTCCATGTTACACGCAAACGTCGGCGCTGGTGACTCAGACACCACAGACATAGAGGTTTGGGACTTAGGGTGGCAGAGTGGCGGACCAGACCACTATATAGTTGCGTTCCAGCCGTGACCGCGTGAACACCGTGGGTCTGGATCACAGGTGAAGTTGTGATAACGTCTGTCTGTTGTACATCTTGTACCGGATGATGCAATGGCATTTAAAATTAATGAAGCACTTCCGGTAACTGGTATACTTACCTTACGTATTGTTACGTTTTATGAATCGATGTTAGTGACTCTATTTCAGTCGCTAGTTGTTAAATCTACTTTTAATTTAGTTTACTTACAGATGTCAAGTAGGAGAATAATGCGAAGGATTGCATTAATCTACCTTAATTCAATATTCGACTCAGAAATTAAAACCTCACCGTAATTTATCCTAAATAATCTAAATAAATGATCAGCGCGAAACTTGAAATTTCTGTTTGAATTTTCGTCCGATAATATAACTACGGTTGTGAATTGATTTTTAAAGGCTCGTATACTCGATTCCACTTAATAACTAAACTGAAATTGAATTTAGTTGATTGGTAGACAGTACGTTCGCTTCCAACATGCAGCCTAGAACTTGCCAACAGTAAATACTTAAGGGTTTCTTTGAACAAAGGTTGCAAATTGTGGTTTGTGGAGGTGGTGGAAGGTTTGCTCCTTGGGAACCTCCTCATTGGGAACCTCAATTATGCAGACCTCCATTGTCGAGGTTTGCCACAATCTTCCAAGGTTGTGGAAGGTTTGCTAGTAAGGTTCATCAAAAATTGAAGCTCATTGAAACCTACTCTTGGTAGCAGGTTAATTCTAGATAACGCTATAAAAATGAACAAGGAACTCTTATCGCATTGATTCCTGTATCTGTCATAATCGAGCTCATTGTGCCGTGGCAAGAACCAACGCTCCTCCAGACAAAGCTCGTAGGTCTTTGTTAATTTATTTTCACACATGAAAAGAAAATATTTAGGAATTTATACCAATAGTTTAAGGCACGTTCACACTCACATTGTAGGTTCTTGAACTTTAGATGTCTTTAACGTAATTTGGCCACAATCTCGTCTCGATAATTGGATTGTCTGATGATCGAATCTGCATAAAAATTCTTTCAATTCATAAATATGTGTAAAAATTAATTAGTACATGAACACATTTGTTAATTTATTGACAAATGTGTGTATGATATACATAAACCCACATGATGCACACAATGTAAATAAATTTTTAAATTTTCTCTCAATCATTATTAATAATCAAGAAATTGTTATAGTCATTGACTCATGGTCAAACTTTTTCTGCCTTATTAATTGAATTAATATGAATTAACTATTCTATTAATTTAGTAATTCCCTCATGCTACATTCAAACCTGCTTCTATTAAAACGATTAAAATCACTTGACTGCTTAAGTCGCAAGTTTAGCAAAAATGTAAAATAAAAAAAAAAAATAGCCAGAAAATTCACCATTTCTTAAAAAGGAAAACGTTTTGGAGACCAGCTCCATCATCAATTCAAAACCTAAAACACAGGTACAAACAATTAGCAATATATTCACGTTGAAGCATAAATCGTCAAATGAGAAACATACAAGAATGAAGCAAACAGAAACCTATCTATTTACAATTTCGAGGGGATATGAACTGTTAGCGGCATTTAAAATAGGCTTATGTTTAAAAATATAAAGGGACTCTAAAATTCGCAGGTCGGAAACACCGGTCCCGGAGGCTAAAATCCGAAAATCACCATCGGACACTGGCGCGTGTCCGATTTTCTGCATCCGGGTCTGCATCCGGGTCTCCAAGTGATAGAAAACCTGCTTGCGCATCCCCCTCATTAACAGTATGCGTCCATGCCGAGCAGTGCATCGTGCCAGTGCCCGATAGTGATTTTCGAATTTTAGCCTCCACGACCGGTGTTTCCGACCTGCGAATTTTAGAGTCCCTTTATATTTTTAAACAAAAGCCTATTTTAAATGCCGCTAACAGTTCATATCCCCTCGAAATTGTAAATAGATAGGTTTGTGTTGCTTTTATCTTGTTTGTTTCTCATTTGACGATTTATGCTTCAACGTGTATATATAGCTAATTGTTTCTACCTGTGTTTTAGGTTTTGAACTGATGATGGAGCTGGTCTCCGAAACGTTTTCCTTTTTAAGAAATGGTAAATTTTCACGCTATTTTCTTTGCTTTTAATTTTTTTATTTATACGATTAGTTGTAATATTTCTCGTTCAGAGTTGAAGTCATTTAATATTCTTTATGCCTGCCTCAGATTCCTTAGAAAGTTCCTAATAAATAGAAAACGTATGATCGTAATATATTAGCAGAATATAAAGTAAAATACTCAGCTGTTCAGTTCTGTTAAATAAACTGAACGAGAGTTGAATAAGTTGATAACTCAACACTTCACGAGATGCCGACCCTTTTCTTCGCTGCAGCTCTGATGGCCTGCGTGGCTGCTACGGGGGCCGAGTCAGGTCAGTCTTATGAAAACTTTCTTAATTAGAACGACTATAATACGTAATGAATTAATTACAGCACTATTTAAAACTTCTTCAAATATATGTACAATTATTTGGATAAGGAATAATTTATTATATCCTTATTGATAGAATTTGTGGTCTCTTCCTTTAATATATAACTAGTGAACACTTCCTTAAACGAATACTTTTGAACACCTAATTCTTTGATAAATGAACTATTGGACTCTTCCTTAAGTACATTATCAATGGAACGTGTTTGCATTAACATTACAATTTTCATACAGTGTTTGAAAACATAAGTCGTTATTTTCAATGATGTTTGATTCTGTTATCATGCAGCATCATTTGGAAATACAAACCATTAACGCCAACCTTCTTTTTCATTAAAAACACAGGCACCAGATTATTAGGATACAATCACTTAGAATTATGGAAGCGCAATAATGAACACGCACTTACAATAGTTGCCGTAGTCTTGCAACTCATACTGTAAAACATGATTCACTATAAATTTTCTATTTATTTACAGAATTACCAAAATCTCTGGAGCAGAAGTCACTGACACGATGGAGCCTCCTTCAGAGCGCCTCATGTGAGTGCTACTTCTGATATTTCGAATAAAAATGACAATATATTAGTTCATGCGTCTTCTTTGAACAAATTAAACGAGCATCAAAGCATAATATTTGCCCCCTTCCGGTAAGGTTGTTTTTGTGGTTAAATTTACATAAACCATACCCGGTTTACTCCCTATAACATGCAGTTGGAAACGCAGTTTCTTTTATAAAAATACAGTTTACAAAAATAAATATGGAATTAACTGGCAATATTACATTAGTAAAATTTAGTCTAGGAAATGCAACCGAGGTCTTGTCCATATAAAAAATGTCGGCACGATAATAAAGCACCAGCTGCTTGTATATTACATAACGGCTGTTACAATGGTTTAACACTAATCTATATTGCAGCACTTTTTTCCATTGAAAAAATACTTTCAGGGCCAGCAATGCACTCATGACTCTCATGCATTCAATTCTTCATTAACCGCTCAATGGAGAACCAATGCAGGCATTTGATCATTTCAAAGATTTTATTACATCTAATAATGATGCTTGTGGAATAGCTAGACCATTATAATTCATAGGAAGTGCCGGCTGGAATCAAGAAAATGCACTGTAATCATTCATTGCTCTCACTTTCGTCAATATAATTCAATTGTAATCACAAAATACGCACTCATTCATGCTATCTCCTATTTCTAGCTAACCCTGCGGATGATATCAAGCCATCCGGGTTTAAACCACCGGATTTGGCGGACGACCTTCTCTGCTTTCCGGCCACAAAAGTTGACGAAGTTTCGCAGGTTCCCCCAAGCACCTCGGTGGTCGCCTCCATGTTCCTGCGAGTGCCCCCTGATGGCGGGCTGGTCGAAGCCTTCGACGAGGGCTCGTGGCTCCTGAACCCGACGGAACCTGGGCATGTTGATCAAGCTGCCGCATTATTTTCGCTCAAATTTGACAGCTTCTCCATCGATGCCAGTGAGTTATGAAGAAAAGTTAGGTTAACGAATAAGAAAATAAGGTTTTCTTATAAATAGAAATTCTTATATTAAATATGCAGGTCATTTATTGTTCCTCTGTTAAACGAACAATATTTCATAAAATGAATCTTTATTTCTATATTGTTTCGTTTTGAAGTTAATCGAGATATTAGACTTATGGACTTATGAACATAGTGAATGATTTTAAAATACACAGAAAATTCTGCAAGCAAATCTAAATTTAGTCATGATTTAACCTTGGCTTCTGGAACAGCGCATGTAAAATTTGCACAGATTTCACTTTGGCTTCATTATTGGGCCAGTAAATCTATATCTCCCATAGGAATGTTGCCGTCGAGCGAGTTAGAGCTTAGCCTACCATCCGGCAGCCATCATCTACTCACTCACTTCCCAGCCAATAAATGGTTGAGGCTTCTACTCGTGGTTGATTTCAACCAGTCAATGGTACGGGTTTATTGACATAGAACCAGATTAAAAATTTGTCCTTTTATATCTTAAGTATAGCTAATTTTACCGCTATTGTCTAAAATAATTACCATGACAGTTGAATGAAAATGTTAACTATCCACATCATTACAGGTTCACGTGCAGATTGGAGGGGGGCGTGAGCCAAGCAAGTTCCCGCTCTACGAAGCAGATGACTTCGACTTCTCTGCAATGTTTGAAGTTGAAAAATTCAAATTTAGGAGCATTCAATATAATTTGTCGTTGAATGCAGAAAGCTACGAGCTTTATACTGACAATGGAACCTTGCTCGATGCTCAAATGATGCTGACAGAAATATGTCATCTAGATATGTCATCAACCTCGAAGAAGTGGATAGACATTACAAATTTCCAGGTTTCATACGCACATGAATTCAATCTATCGACATCTTGCAACACGGAATTGAATATGTCCAAAATCATTTACAGGAGTGAGGTAACATCCTCGCTGGACACATTGTGCCTGGATGAATACTCGATACTAAAATTGAACAGCTCTAGTTCCTATTTCTCTCATGTCGAACAATGCTCAAAGTTTCAAGGGTCGGCCCTCACTACAGAAGATGCGGTTATTTACGCACCAGAGATTGCGGCAATATCTTCCTCGACACGAAACCAGGATAGTATTTTATCTTGGATGCAGAGCCTTAACAATACAAAGGGAAATTTCAAATCATGGTGTTCAGTGTTGCTGCGGAATGGATCGTTGCACTTACGCCCTTGCTACGATTCACTTAGGTTTGGGTTGTGCAAAATTAAAACATCGCTGATTTTTCGCGTTTATGGAAAAGTTGGACCGTTTGACCGCGAGTATGTGCTCATTACCTTGTCTGATGGATCTTGGGTACTGAAAGGTTTCAGTTCACTGATGAAATATTCTGATAATAAGTGGATTATCAAGTCGAATCTTCACAAAGAGTCGTGCGTAACGGGAGATTCAACTCTACCGTTGATCAGAAGCATTTGGGCATGTGGAGAGGCCAATTCAACCTTAGCATTCTCATCTTGTCATTCACAAACATTTAGTTGTACGTCGGGAGCATGCTTGCCAAATCATTTCAGGTGCGATGGAATCACACAATGTGGCGACAAGAGCGATGAAGATGAATGCACATTCATCGTGAAAGACGCGGGATACAATAATTTGGTAATGCCACCGCCTCTCAAAGATGATGACGTCGTACGAATACGGTACTTCTTCATTGTGTATTCAATCGCCCCAATACAAACAAGTAATTTCTACGCAGATGTCGACCTAACCTTTGGAGTGCACTGGAAAGATCCACGCCTAACGGTTTGGAATCCCATCCAGTATAAAAACATCGAGTGTAAGGATATTTGGTCCCCAAAATACATAGCTGCCGATGGCCACCCTCAAGGACATTGGGTCTCTGTACCGGAAGAAAATACGGACGGATGCATGGTGGATTTATATTCTGACATCCCACCCATTGAATCAGTGGACGACCCTTATATGGGTGAGTCCTTTCAGGGATGACTGGTGCTTAAATTTTGTGATTCATGGCTGCGCTATTTTTTCCCAATACTTAAAACGTGAGTGCTGAATATCAAATAGGCCAGTATACTCCCTTGATTCAAACAGCTGACAATATCAGTATAAATATAAAGAATCTTCTTTTGACAAGGCAAATTCTATGTCCATTTAAAAAAATCTTCTGTTGGCACGGCGAATTCTGTATGCATGTATCCTGTATACATTCAACGAACATTCTTTCGGCAGGTCGCCACCTGAACGGCTCATCGTTCGAGCTCGTGTACAGCCTCACGGGGATATTCAGAATCCCCTGCCAGTTCAACCTGCGCAAGTACCCCTTCGGCGACCAGAAATGCGAACTCAACATATGGGTAGACGCCACAGAGTTCCGACAAATCGTTTATGAACGTTTCGCGGACCAGCCTGAAGAAGACGTGAAATTCAGCGGACGCAATGACGTTAGAGAGTATTGGGTTTCCCGGACTTGGAGGAAGGAGGTGAACGATAACCATTCTGTATCTCTGATCATTGAATTGCAAAGTTTGTACGGCTATCACGTTCTCAACAGCTACTTTACAAGCCTTCTTATCGTACTTATCTCCTTTTCAACGGCTATTTTTCGTGTGGAAGACTTCAATGAACGAATAATGGTATCGCTAACTGCTTTGCTTGTCTTGACAGCACTTCTAACTCAGGCTAATTCGTCGTCTGTGCAAACGTCTTACCTAAAATTACTGGACGTATGGTACGCGGCTCTCATTGCTTTCAGTTTCATGACTGTCCTGGCAAATACAATCTTGAATTTTTATCATCATAAGCTTATTTCTGATAACGAACGCGGTAAGAAATCATACGAAGAAATTTTCATTATCAAGAAAGTTAAAATTCTTAACTTCGCTCTTTTCGGGATGCTCACCATTGTTTTCTTTACGTTCTTGCTATTCTACACCCTAATTGCAGGTGACAAAATTTGAAGCCATAAAACTGGAAAAATAAATATAAACTACATAATCCCTTCATTTCACATGAACCTCAAAGGCTCATGGAAGCGTCTAAAAGTACGTGTTATAACTTATAAGCATAAGTCAAACTGCTGAACATTTTAATAATTGGTAATTCATCTACTTATCTTATATTTTTAACATTTTCAAGATTTTATTTATCTATACGAACGTCCTTGAAATCATCGAAATACGGACAAATTTTTTTCATGTGATTTTCACCCATCACAGCCGTACAAAGAAACTTTATGTTCTGAAATGTTTAAGAACATAAACAATCGTGAATTGATCATTTTTACAGGTACGCAAAACTTTTTCTTGCCACTAGAAGGTGCTGTTGTGTTTTACTCCTGGTTTACTAGTCAGTGTGCGTTATATTTTTCATAGCGTTATTGAGAACGCGATCCCGAGAATTCCTACAAATCAGCTTGTATGACCAAATTCTTGCGATAGGTTGGCCAGTGCCGGCCCGACTGCGACATCGCTGCATTATCGATGGACAGCGCACGTGCGTTCGTTTAGGGCAGTGGGCGATATCGCCCTCCTCTAGGCGGTGGAAAGATCTGGGGGGGGGGACGGTGAGGAAGAAAGGGCAGTAGGGGGCGACAGTCCGCGAAGTCGAAGTCAGAATTTTGTTCGTTTGTTTGACGATTTGTACGCAACACGTGCAGAACATGACTCAGACTCGAATAGATTTTCACGAGCTAAAAATCACCGCTTGGTGGTTAGAAATTTTTATTAAATATTTCGTTCGAATTTGTTCAGTAGTTTGGAATAAATTCTTTGATCACTGCGAATTTCGGCCCATGTCGTCGTATAACTCCCGAATGAAGGTGAAATATAATTAATTTAGTTTAAAATTTTTCAAGAGATAAACATCACCGTTAGGTCCTAATGAATACGTGTTCCAAGTTTTATCGAGCTGTGTTCATTAGTTTGGGATACATTCCTTGGTCACTGAATTTGGAGAGCGACCGTGAGGCCGGCTGAGGGACCGGCCACGAGTCCGGCCGAAAAGCTTGAATTTCTAGTGCTGAAACAGTTAAAACTGAAAAAATATATTGGTTTACTAAATGGGGCTCTATTTGTGAAATACACATCTGTGTTTAACCTCCCTCTTTTAAAATTGCAGCGTACTAAATATCAAGAAAGAGGCGTTTGTTTTTATATGCGTTTCGTGAGGGGGGGGGGCGCTAGAGATTCACTGGGGAGCCTTAGGAGGCACCAGCCTGAAAAAGTTTGGGACCACTGGTTTAGAGAATAAACTGTGGACTTGATAATAAAATTTGTTTTGACCTCAGTAACCCAATCTTTTGTGGGACGTGCATATACATTCTATTGCTTGTACTTACGAATATTCCTGTATTTTATGCGATGTTCAAAAAATATTAAATGTTTGTCAATATGTCAATTATATCATTTACTATAATATTGTTTATCCATTATGAATTATTAGCCAAATTCGAAAGCAGAAAATATGTATAAGATAGTCTGTATAATTTGCAGCGCTTGCTAGATTAGTTAGCGTTGTTGAACGAAATTATTCGACGTATGATTATCGATACGATTTTCTCACTTGTAAATATCTTGTCGTGGGGTATCGTACAGGATGTGGTGATAAATTGTAATAATTGTAATAATATGGTGCATCATAATGCATTTAACTCGCACCCCCGCGGGCAGTTGATTAGCACGCCACGTGTTTCTCGTTTCTGTTTCTTAACGTATTCTCTGTGTGTTTCGATTGCGAGTTTACTCGGAAATTCAAATATATTTATACAGAAGAGGATAAAGTGATGTAGCGATAGATCATAACTTTTTTTGATGATTAATCATTCTACGTGATTAGCTCCTGAAAAATTTGTTTCTATTATAATGATTAGAACCCCCACAGAAAGATCAAAAAATGAAGTTGTGGATGACTTTGAGTCTCCGTTAAGCCGTGGTTGAGAAAGGACGCTCGTGCTCGTGGTCCCAAATTTCTAAATTTTTAACTCTTTACTGTGCCGTTTTCGGAACTCTCTTCGCATTTTTTTTATGATCCGTGCCAGAGAATAACCGAATTTCAGTTCAGTTCAGTGAAGTCAGTAAAAGAGAGTGCAATTTGAATGAACAAGCCAAACAAGTGAAAGTGTTTTCATTTTTAAATAACGCGGACTTGTAGAGTCAGTAGAGGGTTGCCGCGAGGGTAACGCTCACGCCCTGGCCCACGCGGGACAATAAGCCTTTGTTCTCGCGCCTACCTCTTCCTAGCCTAGCTCTTCCCTTGAACACCTAAGCCGCTGAGATCGCCGCTCTCTGAAAGCCGCTTACTCTCAAGTCTGTAACAATTTTGAACAATCAAACAATTTTTACTCAACTTGATTTCGGTTTTTTAACTTGTGTTTATCTAGCACTTGCATTTCAAGATGGCTGGTCAGAGAGGAAAAAGATTAATTGAGAAGGCTTTCAGTCCTATTAAACCGAATGCGAAGATCAAATCGCAAAATGAGCGAGAGGAAATTTGTAAATTTTGCAAGCTGGTTTCGATTAACGTCAATGACGCTACAGTGGCCTGTGATCGTTGCGGGGATATCGTCTGCAACATTTGTGCAAAGTTGAGCAAGACAGACTGCGCGGTTATTCGTAAAAACAAGTCAGTACACTGGTTTTGCCAGGACTGCCAACAACCTGCACTTAGCGCGGTAAAAAGCGAAAAATGGTGGAAGAGAAGTGCTCTTCTATGTTTTCTGTCTTTAAGGCCGAAATGGAAGAAACCATCAAACAGGAGTTGAGAAAGAGTGCCAAAATGGAAGAGAACCACAAGAAAGAACTGAGCTTGTTGCGTAGCGAATTACACTCGTTACGAAACGAGCTGGTGGAAATGAAAGCTTATCTGCACACAAGAGAAAATAACGATAACACAGAAGGTAAAGGCCGCAAAGATGTCATCTCTGATCTCGCCAACGAGAGCACTCGTGAACTGCTGGATAGAGAGAGAAGAAAACTTAATCTTGTTTGGTTTAACGTTCCCGAAAGCAATGCTCCGGATGCTGAGTTTATTACTGATTGCTGTGCCAAGGCACTTAACGTCGTTGTGAATATAACGGCATGCAAGAGGTTGCGATCGAAAGACGCTACCGCCTGTAGAGCGCTGCTGGTAACTGTGCAGGAGACAGCCCAGGTCGGACATGTGCTTAAGGCTGCGAGAAAACTAAGTGAATCTACAGAGTTTAATTCAGTCTTTGTTAAGAAGGATGGTACCCCTATAGAGAGAGAAAATTTTCGCAAGAAATGGCAGGAGATAATCAGGCGGAAAAGCATGGAGACTCGGGTCGACCAATTTCACGATGTCAAGACAACACCGACCGCACACGGTCAGTCAGCGGAGCTGGAAGACAAGTAAGAAGTCATGTCCATAGAACCAGGCCTGTAAATAACGTAAGAAATAAACGCATGAATCAAAGTGAAAGTGCAGAAAAAGCTGTAAAATGTTTTTACACGAACTCGGATTCCGTTTTGACAAAAGAAGTGAACTATTAAGTGTGATTGAAAACGAGCGCATAGACATTATTTGTATTACAGAAACACTCCCTAAAAATCACGGGGGGGGGGGAATTTTACCTGTTGAATTTCAGTTGCCAGGTTTTGATTGTTTTCATAACTTAAATGAAGAGCAGTGCAGTAGAGGTGTAGCTTTGTGGGTTAGTACCTCTTATGGGGCCCAGCAAGTCAAGTTATCTGCAGAACATCAATCAGCTAGAGAATCAGTGTGGTGCGAACTTCTCTAAGAGGCAAAGATAGCCTCCTCATAGGCATCGTGTATAGATCACCAAACAGTTCTTCTGATAACGATAAAGTACTAAACAGTCTTTTACCCAGCATGACTTTCAGTAGGTCACACACGTTGATCGTTGGTGATTTTAATCATCCAGAGCTAGACTGGATGGATGGATCCTCTCCAAGGGAAGAAAATCACCCAGCATCCTTGTTCATGGAGTCAGTAAGAGACTCCTTCCTAGTCCAGCACGTTACCAATTCAACCCATTACAGAAGTAAACAGACTCCCAATATTCTAGACCTGGTGTTTACCAGTGATGAATCAATGTTAGATGAGCTTCGTCACGAGGCTCCGTTGGGCAAAAGCCATCACCAATCATTGTTTTTCAGACTTAAGTGCTGTACAGAAAAGACGCCTCGGAAGCGTGAGCTGTGTGCTGCGGTCCGTCATTCTTCGCACTATGCCAGTTGTAAACGAGAATTTAGCATAGGCATCATAATTAGAGAACTAGCACATTAAAAAAGATAGTTTATAAAAAATATAGTCTATTCTTAAATAAAAAGTTCCAATATTCGTACCGATATTATATCATCCTTTGAAATCGCTAAACGGTAATGCATAAATTGTCAGGAGTTGCTACAATCACATAAACTGAACACGTCATGTAAAAATAACTTACATTATTTGCATTTCGATTTTTGTACTCCTTTGACCGAACACTCCATAGGCATTACTGTTCTCTATAAAGATCAATTAGGCGCTCTACTAGAGAGTGACTCCAAACGAGAGTGGTGTTAGTCAACATTTGGTGTGCCGGACCAGCGTACACAATCAACCTTACGTACTAGACCACAGACAGCTATTTACTAACTAAGAATTTAAAAGCAAAGAATAGTCCACAAAAATTCATATCTTTATAGAAAACGTTTCGGAGACCAGCTCCATCGTCAGTTCGTAGAATCTAGAATCACAAATCAGAAGTCACAAATTAATACATTGAAACCATAGAACGAATTGAATTTATTTAATTAATTAATTTAGATTTTTAATTTGATATAAATTTTTAATTTAATTTAAATTATTAGTTAATTTGCGATTCAAGTGATATCAATTCTTTAATAGCTATCTACTAAGCGCCGCGCTTGTGTTGCATGTGGCATGGCTCCTGTCAATCGCTAGCTCGTCAATCGGTCAAGAAGCGCATGCAGAGGCTGCAAAGCGCCTCTGCATGCGCTTTGAGGCACTTGATTCTCGTATGTTGCCCCTAGTGTGAACGGGCCTTTAGCAACTGTCCTAGCCGGCCCTCTGACGTCACTTTTTCGAAAAACTTT